ACGTTCAGTTTCATAAAACCATAGTTCAGCGAAAAAATATAAACATGGGTAAATTGTGTTATATTAACTTATCGGTGTACTTTCTTGTATTTTGAAGTGTTACATGAAACCGCATGCTTTCAAGGGTCTCTAATCTCAATATTCAATCAACATTTCAGCTAGATATATATATATTTTTTTTACCCATTTCAGAAAAGCCTTCTCACTAATACAATAGTGTTTAAGTTAGTTCGATTTACTTTTGAAGTGATGACCTATTTTTTTTTTTTTGATGTTCTGTCAGGTGATGTTATTCCGAAGACCGCTGACGTAGTTTCTGTCAGTTGAGGTTATATTTGATACAGATATTTAATGCGTTCCGAAAAGAAAATTTCAACCAATCAGCGGAATTTTACATCTATTTTTGATGCAGATTCTTGCAGACTAAAATGGAAATTATAGTAAAATAGAATGTTTTTAGTAGATATAAAACAGGGAATAATGAACTCTTTAAGCAAAAGATCGGGGTTCTGTGTATTCACATGAATTGTATTTCTCTCCCTACTCTTGAATTTTTCGGTGGTATTTTCCGACCCAAATGGTTTACCAAAACATTTATTTTATTATATAGTATAGTAATAAGAACATCAAACAAAAGTATTGATAAACTATTGATTGTTTAAGTCTTCCATAAATTTTTTGTTTTGAAAATCGAAAATAATTCCATTATACTTAGCCTAACAAAAATAATGTATGTCTTTAGATAAAAAATATCTTGATACTTTGTAGATGTCTAAGGACTTGCTTTATCGGAATCTCATATTTGCATTTTGAAGATACTTAGCTTTACAAACATATTTTATGTCTTGAGATAGAAAACTAATGTCTTGATAGTTTATTGATGTCTATGGATTTGCTCTACTGATATATCATATTTGTATTAAATATGCCATGATATTAACATAATCATTCTATCAATTTGTAGATATTCAAAGTGGATTAGATTTGTAACATACATGTAAATTTATATGTGTTTTTTTAATTTCTAACTCAGAGCCAAGAACTGTATTCTCTGACAGGTGCGATGGTGAATCAACTTTTCAAGAAATGTTAGTATATACAAATACATAAATGTGTGTTCGTAACGTTTGTTTTCATGTATGATGCAATTTACCCGACTGAATTATTTTAACCGGTTTCCCGATTTAAAAAGACGTGTACCTGATATTTTCTGCACACATCTGTCATCTTTTATCGTTGCGTTTATTCTTATATTTGGAAATATTGACATATAAATGAATATTTCAATAATCTATTTTATCCATTCTGTACATGTGTGATGTTGAATTGTTATCAATATGCGTTATATTATGCCCTTTAGTAAATCCAATTTACCGGTATGCAAGAACGAAAGACAGAATTCCTACGGAAGAGCGGGGCTTACATGATACTGCTCATATCTTGAGACATGGACAAATGTCTTAAGACGTTTAATTCCAGTTTATTATATAAATGCGTTTTTCTGCATGGTTAATTATTAATACATGTTTGACATTGTCCATGTCTTGATACATACAGTAAATATCTAAAGATATGAAGTTGAACTGTAAAAATATTATATTATGCCCTTTAGTAAATCCAATTTACCGGTATGCAAGTACGAAATACAGAATCCCTACGGAAGAGCGGGACTTACATGATACTGCTCATATCTTGAGACATGGAAAAATGTCTTAAGACGTTTAATTCCAGTTTATTATATAAATGCGTTTTTCTGCATGGTTAATTATAAATACATCTTTGACATTGTCCATGTCTTGAGACATACAGTAAATATCTTAAGATATGAAGTTGAACTGTCAAAATATTTGTAATGGGGGCTTCTGTTGAAATTTTGTCGGTCAATAGTTATGTCTTTAAAAAAAACGTTTAAGGCATAACGTGTCGTCGACAAACAGGTTGACGTCTCATGCAATGACAATACTAATACGGTAACCACAACACATACTCTTATAGCTAATTTTGAGATTGTCGTTGTGCAAATAGCAAAGTGTTAATGATTTATTAATTATTAACCCACTCCGAACCATGAACAGAGCCTATTCACACATATGATCGTATGCGTTAAATCACTCTTTTATTAACCATTAGATGATACACTACAAATTTTAATCTGTGTAATGTTTACTTTTTCTATCATACTGTATAAAACTTCTACCTCATTATATATGTTTTATCTGTTGTCAGTATCTTCAAAAAATGAATACATGTTCAACCAAATGTTTCAAAACGCGTCAAACATGTCAAGAACTTAATATATGTGTGCATACGAATGTTCACTTTTATTCTTGTATAAAATAAGGACATCAAACAAAGGTATTGACAAACTATTGATTGTTTAAGTCTTCCATGAAATTTTTGTTCTGAAAATCGAAAATAATTCCAAAATACTTAGCCTAACAAAAATATTTTATGTTTAGACAGAAAATGAAAATGTTCATACTTTGTAGATGTCTACGGACTTGCTTTATCGGAATCTCATATTTGCATTTTGAAGATACCTAGACTTTCAAAAATATTATATGTCTTGCGATAGAAAAAAAATATCTTGATACTTTATTGATGTCTAAGGACTAATCGGTCTATCATATTTGTATTTTGAAGATAAAATACAAAATAAATAAAACATGAAATGAAATTAACATAATCAGTCCATTAATTTGTAGATTTTTTAAATGGGTAAACATCGTCACGTACATGTATATTCATACGTTTTCAAGGCAAATGAACAAACACCTTATGTCTTTGGAAGTCTTAAGACACGAGACCAAAACAAGTATGTCTTGAGACATGGAATCTATGTCTTAAGACATGGATCTTTAAGACATTATTGAAATTTTAACATTTGTATCCTCTCATCCAAGACTTCTTGAAGAAAATTGTTGGTGTCTTGAAGACATGGAAACAAAACAAATACCACTGGCCATTAAAACATATTTCAAACACATGAACACATTTTTTATATTTATTATTTGTAAGAAGACAACTAATTTGTAGAAGATAATTTAAAGTGATCTACGGGGATAAGGGCAAGAACTTAAAACTTTAATTTGATATCAAATATAATTTACAATAACATTGATGAAATTTTTATTTGTTCTTAGATTAATACTGATTCCGTATTATATTTTTAGGGAAAACTAGAATTCTAAAAGTTCCTCTGATATTCTAGGTCAAAATATGGCATGGAGGATTGAATCTTTTATTCCTCGCTAAAGAGATACTAGGATTTAACTTCACAAATAACCAATTCAAAGATAACAACTCTAGAAAACGTATGTCCTAGATAGAATATTTCCTTCAATTTAGATTCCCTCTCATTACAATTTTTGATTACAGTATTAACAGAATTACCAAAAACCTTAAATCTGCTAAATAGGAGGCAATAAATGTTTTTAAAGAAATCATCGTGATCTCATTATTTCAGTCTAACGTAGATAAATATTTTTTGAATATTTGATATAATTGATATTCAAATTATGTTATTTCTGGTTTGATGGTTTTGGTCAAACACTACAAAGTTCCTTCGACACACGAAACATCTAAAATCAACCCTGGTTTGTGTTGCTTGATCTCAATTTCTGTGGCTGTTGTTTGTTTTTTTTTTTTTACCTATTTTGAGGCCATTTAGTGTTCCTTCATCAGCTTTGGCCCTTGGTATCATCTTATTTGTTTGCTGCTACTTGATGTCTCTAACATTTTTTCTCACTATTTACTAGTTCAAACTAAAGACAATTAATAAAATATCGTATGATGTCTCTGTTCAGACGCACCAATTTTTTTCAATCTGATTGAAATCAAATCCTTAAAAAGGTCTGAAACGTTCTGTTCTTTCTGTTCTGGTAAATATTACATCAGCCAATGAAATTTCAGCCTTCAAATTTTGAAGGTGGGTATCATTACTGCACAACCAGAGAATCCCAAAAGGTCTCTGAGTGTTGTAAGACCCTCGTAAGCACAGCATGGACACAGAATCTGTATTCTGATCAGATTGTATTTGTTTCTTTTTCTAGCTCTTAGTTGAGTCAAAAATTTATATCTCCTTGGCTGTTAAATATTTTGCGTTTGGACATTTCTGGTGAAGATAAATTTATCCTGAAAAGTGCTTTTCTTGTCCTGAATTTACAAAGTCATTTTTATTCAATCCCCTCCAATTTTCCCTTATGTTGTTCATTAATAATAGCCCTTGTTTGCTTGTAACCTTGTGAACAAGCAAATTAAAAATTTTGGTTGGTGTGTTAGTTTAGTACAAAACAGGGTTCCCATTCATATCCCACTGAACCGCCATGGGTGACTTGGGAATATAAGTATGGTCACTCTTGGTCTTCTTCGGACCAGCAGTAAAACCATTGCCAAAGTGGGCCATCCATTTGACTATGCGGGATGTACATGCAAGCAGTCAGAATGTGGACGTTAAATTTGATTTCTTGTGTAGAGACAGTGCCATGCTCTGCATGTTAAGAATCCTTGCCACAACTCTTTGAGGAGTTCCGTAGATGGCCTATTGCACGGCAAAATTTCTGTCCTTATCCACCATACCCTCGTTTTCCAGTAGCAGTTTAAATTTCCCTGACCTTCATCCTGGAAGGACTTTATAAATAAAATGTATTGTTAATTTGTTCTCCTTCTGAACAGGCATACAATATTTGCCACTGCAAATGTTTACCAACAATCAATCAATCAATCATATCACATTGACATATTCTTATTCTGATATGTATGCATTATTTGCTATTGGCCTTTAAACACCAATCCTGTCCCATCATCATTATCATCATTTTTTGTCTTAGCATTGTACATATTTTTCAAATATATATATACAATTCGTCTCAAATATTACTATCTTTATGCGTTTAAACCATTATTGTTTTTTTAGAAAAAATATGTGAACACTTCCATGACTTCAGTTGTAATATCTGTTTTAAAGTCATACCTTCCAAATTAAACGTTTCTCACCCGTAACTAATGTTCGTATATGAATAAGGTATATAACATCATGAATGCTCTCTCTGTGATTATATTAGTTTTTGAATACTATTTATGCCTGATTGCCTTATCTTATGACATAAGCCTTATCTGACCATATTAAATGCAACTTTATATATAATTTCAATACACAGATGACAAATATGTCAGTTATGTTTTAGTCAACTCTAATTTTCAAATAAATAAGATAATATAAGAAACAAAAATAAATTAAATTAATGTCAAATATTTGATTTCAGTCTATATTTTTTCTTTCTTGCATGCTGAAGTTGTTTTCTTATCTGTAAATATAAATTGAAATAAGATATTAATATGCATGCATATGGTATACATGAGTTTTAAAATAATTATTTCAGCTTAAAACAAGTTCATAACAGTATCTACTGATAGGTTTATAATCGGATATGTTCTTGATATGAATTCCAACATACAGCATTACTGTGTACTTTTTTTGCAAAACTGAACTTGTGCAACACATTTTGTTTTTCAAAATCAATAAAAGAACAGAGTTCCAATGTCCCCTGCGTTGCACATATGTTATCTATCAAAGGAACAATGGAAATTACTAAAAGAAAACGCTTTTTTTTTTAAAGCAATTTATAAATATCTTAGAGAAATGAAGGCTTCAGAGGAAATGCAATGCGAGTTCCGTTATAACTAAATTTTTCATGGGGAAAATCTTGTTCAAAATATTTGATCAACACTTTTTTTTGAAAGTGTTAAAGACACTGCTGATATAAACCTATGATATGAATTTCATGCAAATCTGGCAAGAATTGTACACATGAGAGTGCTAACAATGCGATTTTCCATATAATCACTATTTCAAAGAGGCATAACTCTTTTAATAATATTTTATTGGCACTGATTTTCTACCTCGTCAAAAACATTGATGATATAAACCTATAATATAAATAAATTTCATAAAAATCTGGCAAGAATTGTACATTAGAGTGCTCAGAAGGCAATTTTCCATATAATTAATGAATCCAAGAGGCATAACCCTTTACAAAATTATTGATCAGCACTGATACAAAACTATAATATAAATTTCATAAATATCTTGCAAGAATTGTACATATGAGAACGCTAACGATGCAATTTTCCAAATAATCAATATTTCCAAGGGGCATAACTTTTTTAAAAATAATTGAAAGGCACTGATTTTCGAACTCATCCGAGACATTGCTGATAATAACCTATGATATGTGAGAGTGCTAACAAGACCAGACAGAGGGACACATAGACGGACGAACGCCCGGTATTTCTTGTTTCCCCCTGCAACACGTTGCGCGGGGGACAAAGACAATTACAGCTATGTTGACTTATTTTTAGATCTAGTAAGGCTGATAATCAAGGGTTCTTTTAAGTTTCAATTCATCTATTGTCATGATTGTAGTTTTCCAGATAATAGGCGAAAATACAAAATAAACTGTTGACGTCAACATGTTGATACAGAGATTTGTCTCCCCTGTCTGCATAAAATTCAGAAAAGAAGAAAAGACAAATCTAGTGGACAGCAACATTGCTAGTTAATTCAAAGTCGCTGGATCATGAACTAGTGGGCAGGGCCTTGAAATGGTCAACAAAATGAGATGTACAGACAGTAATGTAACTTTATAGAACATGTCGTTGTCTATTGTAAGTAGATCCTATCAAACTAACTTAAGCAGAAAACATAACATTCAAAATTGGTAATGAAATGAAAGTCACTGGATCGTGACCTACAGGGTCAGGGAGTCAAAATAGTTGTCAAACTGATATGTACTGATAGAAATGCAACTCTGAAAAAATATTATTGATATATCACAAGTAGTTCCTATTAAACTTATTTAAGCAGAAAACGTAACATTGAAAATTGCTAATTAATTGATAGTTGATGGACCATCACCAATAGAGCAGGGCCTTAAAATAGTTGTCAAACTGATATGAACTGACAGTAATGCAACTTTGTAGAAACTATCTTTGATCTATCACAAAGAGTACCTATCACTAACTTTAAGCAGAAAACTTAACATTGAAAATTGCTAATTAATTCAAAGTCACTGGACCATGACCTAGGAAGTGGGCCTCAAAATAGTCGTCAAACTGATATGTACTGAATGACAGTTAAATATTGAAACTTCATAACAAAATATCATTGATCTATCACAAGTAATTCTTATCAAACTAACTTGAAAATTTAACAATTGAACGCCGACTTCGCCGCGAAAGCAATATCCATGTCTTGTCTTCCTCGACAAAAAGGCGAGACAAAAGTGGTAAATATTGTCATTAAAGGGCAATAACTGCAAAAGTGAGTGCACCAACGATTACATCAATATTGACTTTTTAATAGATTTTGCCTTGTAGATCATTTTTGCTTTCAAAGTTTCAATCTATCTTCGATAGTTTTCTAAGTTAATACACAAAAACTCCAAGAATTGCTAAAAAATGTCATTTAAAGGAAAATAACTGTAACAAGCATTCTAAGAGTATTGCATGGCAATACATCCATGACATAGTCCCCTACCGGTTATAAATTCTTTTTACTGGAACAAAATGCCTAATTAATCAGTAATTTGTAATATTTTCTATATTAAAAAAACTTCGTCCAAATATCTCCTGGTGCAAATATTAAACATTTAATCTGTTTATACTAAAATATATAAAATGTTTTTCTTTTGAATAATGTTTCACTAATGGAGTTGTATCGACATTTAAATAATTGTATTAATTTATATTTCATAAGTACTACATGTCCTAGGACCATAACTCCACCAAAAAATCATCTGAACAGAACAATATTCAAACTTGATCTTATAACTTGTCATGGTTAAACTATAAACAATATCAAACATGTCAACTCTATATCTTCAAAAATAATGAAAAAAGTGTGGAAAACTGATTATTTGCATATTTTTTGAGTCAGAAGACCATAACTCTGCAAAAAATCATCCGAACCTAACAAAATTCGAACTTGATCTGTAAAACATATCAAATCAATATCTTCAAGCACAACAACAACAAAAAATGCGTAAAAGTTAAAACTGATTATTGCATGAATTTTCTAAGTCTGAAGACCATAACTCTGCAACAGAATCATCTGAATCAAATAGAATAAAACTTTGATATGTAACTCTTAATGGTAAAATATATACCAAATATCAAATCAATATCTTCAAGCATGATGAAAAAAATTGCGAAAACTGATTAATTGCATGAATTTTCAAAGTCCAAGGATCATAACTCGGCACAAAAACACCAAACCGAATCCAAATTAAACCTTGATCTGTAATTAGTCATGATAAAAATATATACCAAATATCAAACTCATATCTTAAAGTCATTGAAACTAGAGGCTCTGAAGAGCATGTGTCGCTCACCTGTATCTACTGTGGTTTTGGAAATCATGTAAAATCATAATAAATAGTATTAGATAGCCTAATAATGATTGAGGCCAAGTTTGGTTTAATAAGTTAAATTAAAAGCAGAAGATTTTTGAAAAAATTTACAAAAATTACCAATAAATTGCAGAAAATAACTTTAAAGGACAATGACTCCAATAAGATCTCAATTGCCAATTGGTCATCTTAACTTATTTGTAGATCTTTCTTTGCTTGATATTTTTGCTGTTTACAGTATATCTCAATCTATAATGATATTCAAGATAATTAACAAAAAATAAAAAAATGTCCTTACCTCCGCTCCAAAATTTATTTCACCCAGGGTCTGTATAATGCTGAAAATGCCTTTAAATGGAAAACCCTTCAAAAAACATTTGGACAGGGGTTCCCCTGACCCCGACTAACCCACCGGGTCTGGGGGGGCATTCACCCAATATAAGTATACTGAAAGAAAAGATATAGTAATGGTTTATAGAAAAGGTAACACTGAATAATTCTGAAAATGGAACATATCAAGGAGAAATTATTAGCACCCCCCTGAAAAATTGTACCCCCTGGAAAAAAATCAAGTCATCCCATTGTAGTCTCAGTGTACGGCAAGTAAGATTCCATCTTATACAGATTTTGAATATTGGAGTTATTATACTGCTCACATTTGACTCATCAGCAATTGTAATCATTTGTAAGAAAATTTACCAGATACAAAAATATATGTAGTTCACACACAATTGAAACTAGCAGAGCAAACAAGACATGCCTTCCTCTTGATTGAAAAACTCTTTGAATGTTGTGCTGGTAGTTAATTTCTATTTATCGTTGACATGGTGTCCAGTAATACCATACAACTTGTTTTGGAAGGTGATAGAGGCAAGTACTATTATTACTCCATATGATTCCTTGTTTTATTTTCAATGTACACAGATGCTGTTTGGATTAAAAAATTCTCCATCAACATACCAGTGACTTATTGGTGATTGCTAGGCACACGACAACCTCAAGATATGCTGCATTTTCATTGATGGCATCTTAATTAATAGAAGGATAAATGAAAGGCATTCTAGAATCTATACTAAATTTCCTAAAACTGCAGAGAAGCAACCATGTAGCCAAATTCGTCAAGTGAAGGTAAACAATGATGATCAGAAGGTAGTAGAAGCTAGAATGAAAAGAGATAAATGGGATACTGAGAGAGCTTTCAACTTTTCGACACCAACCAATGCATACAACATTGAGATTAGGGAGTTGTCAGCTGGTTTTTCCCACCATTTTTCTTAAAATGTTCTGTACCAAGTCAGGAAAACGGCCATTGGTATATTATAGTTCGTTTCTGTGTGTGTGTCATTTTATTGTTGAGTTTCTGTTGTGTCGTTGTTCTCCTCTTATATTTGATGTGTTTCCCTCAGTTTTAGTTTGTAACCCGGATTTGTATTTTTTCTCAATCGATTCATGAATTTCGAATAGCGGTATACTACTGTTGCCTTTATTCATCCATAATTTCAGCATGTTTAGCTGTCCTTTGTCCAATTTTATTTCTGCACTAGGCAATAAGCCCAAGAACTAACCATGACAGATTTAGAGACTACCAAGACTACCTCTGTAGGAAAAGGTTCCCCGTGAACACACACAACAATCCAGTAAATTACCTATAAACATTCACCCACAATCACATAAGCCCTTTTTCTCTTTTTTGTCTGCAACTCCATGTGACATGAGTCTGAGTAGATCAGATACATCACATTTTGATTTTGATAATTTCACGTTCAACGATAAATTGCCTTAACACAACAGAATAAATGCCCCGCCAAGGAAACCAAACCAAGACCAAGATATAGACCTGCCAAGAAGACAATTAAATGAACTGGAATCATTCTTATAAGACTTAAGGGATGATTCAGTGTAGGTTAACAAAATGGACCAATATTTTAAATGATTCACCAACCACTGAACAGCTCTCATTTTTAACATGGTGCTGCGTAAAATGCTATATACAGGTGACAAAGAAGGGGACATGCAATCTTCTGAAAGTCGCTGCTAGTTTCACAGAAGAGGTGGAGGTTATAGAACAATAATTGATAGGGACAACCTGTGAATATGAAATTTAAAACAAGCAAACTGGTGCATATATACATGTGCTTCATTAGCTCCTTCTGTCCTTGTTTCAAAAGTTTTGAAAATTGTACGAAAGAAATATTTCTGAACCTTGCTTGAGTTATGTGCTACATATCAAGCTTACAAGATTCCACAATAACTTTTTTCACGGAGCCAATGTTCCCTGTATTATTATACTATACATATTTGCCCACCCCAATAAAAATGATAAAAAAAACTTGAATGTCTAAAAGCAGATAACAAAACATGATCAGGATAGTAAGATTCAATAGCCTAACAATATAAAACTTTGTTATTAAATATATCAGATGTCTTGGTTTGATGCTTTTTTTTTTGTAATGGGCCCAAAATAATTTGTATTGAAAAATTTATCTACTTTCATTACTTGCAGTTTTTCAAAGCAAAGAGTTTTTCCACAATAAGTGTGTATGATCGACCAAGTTTAAAGAAAAGAGCTATTCTGACAAGTAAGTATTTTTTTTACACACTTAATGTATAAAACCTGTAATTTTTTAGGTTAATTATGCCATAAGTGTTGGGTTTCTTAACAGAGCGTAAATGTATGATCTAACCCTAACGATATTTTGAATATTTCTTCACCATAAATATAAATAACCTAAATATATAAAAAAAAAAGTAACATGATTCCACCAGGGAATCATGAATCTGGCAAGAATCTACTTTTAATAGTTGACTTTGATTACTTATAGGATTTTAATGAAAAGGTTTCTGCTATAAGTAGACAGAAAAACTATGCCGGTACTTATAAAATAGACTCCAAATCATAATGATTCAGTTACCTTATGAAAAGAAACAACACAGGAAACAGCATCCCATCCAACAGAATCAAATAAAATATAATAAAAGCATGTGCATGGGTAAAATACAGGCTTCAACAGCTAGCTGCTTATACAATGTATCAAGCTCTGAATCGAAAGTGATGAATAAAGATTAAAAAACTAGGACTGATATATTTTAAATTCTCAGACTAACTAAATATTCAGATATGGCATACAACTACTGAAGAGGTTCTGAACTAGGGACATGGAAATAGTTTAGCAAAAATAATTGACAATCACAACAATCTGTAGAGTTTTTGCCATTGCAAAGGATTTGATGAAATATTAGTATGTCAATTTAGAATTAATATCATTAATTGTTTACCTCAAGGAAAGAAGTATGATAACCAAATTTTATAAATTAAATTGAATAATTTTTCATTATTTTTTTGAGAGTAGTGAGATCTCAGCAAAGATCTAGACTTTGATTTGGGAACGTAAGGAGACTTCTATCAGAAGTGCATATAATCTGCCATAGATTTGGAATCTTGCACTAGAATTACGTCAGATTGGACATCAATTTGAGGAACAGACGTTGATATGAGTCTTAAATATTGCATTTATGAGAGCTCAATTTGAATTGTTTAAAAGGTCAGTTGAGTCTCTAAATTGGTATTTTTCATATTTTCTTTCGTGTATGTTTCTTGTGGCATGCTTTCTCATTTGGTTCTTTTCTAGATTTTCCAGACTTCTCTCTGGGAAGTGATCAGGTTTTGATTTAAATTGAATGTTAAAACTGATCATTAATTGGGTAGGTTTGGTTGAAAATCAACAATGTGTTATAAATATTGGACACGTATCTTTTTGTAAGAATGGTACCATTGGATTGCTATAATCTCTATGTTTTTCATTCCTAGGTGGGTTTTTTTTGTTTAAATTATCCATCAGCTGTGTCTAGGTGAATTTGCAGATAGAATTGAAATTTCTGAAATTTTCATGGTGATTGTAGATATTTTTTTGTTGATTTCAGTAATCTTAACACAACTTAGTTTTTGCGGCAGTCAAGTGTTGTTCTTGTTCATCATTCATTATTGATTTCTCAGCATTTTACAAGATTTTTATCAATGCCTTTCACAGCCAATTGCAAACAATATTTATTCACCAGTATTCATAATTCATCATTCCATCAAGTTATAGAATAAACATGTACTGATCCAAATGTTTTTGTATAAATCCCTGAAGTGACTCAATCTTACCTTTACTGTGTAGTGCCCTATTGACTGTCTTTTCATTGTTTTTTTAAGTCACAGTATTGCCGGTTCTGATTCAAGTTATGGGTTTTGACAATGCCACCATTCCCCTCTTTGTGTCTTTTTTAACTCTTTCTTCATATAACTTGCAAATTTAGCCCAAGATGTCAGTTTCTAACTTATTGCTATAACTTGAAAGGTGTAAATTTATTGATTTTTTGTTTAATTTGGAGAAGGCGGGAAGGGGATTGTGTTGTTTACGTGGTTTATTTTCTTTATTTTAAATTGCATTGCCTTAAGTAATCATGATGCTAAATATCTTACTTATTTCATACACAGACTAAAGGATGTAGTGTTTTCAAATACGCCAAACACTATTCTAAAGCAATGTCTCAAGACATAGATGTGACAAAAATGTGTCTTGAGACATATCTCTATACACAGTTTTATGTCTCTTAAGATGCCTTTAAGACCTTTAAGACGTGTCTATCAGACGCTTCTTCAAGTCCGTCTCAAGAAGCGTCTTGGAAATTTGTCTCAAGACAAGGATGTTCATTTGCTGTGTTTGTTTAATTTCTAACTCAGAGCCAAGAACTGTATTTTTTGACAAGTATAATTTCACGGTGAATCAAATTTTCAAGAAATGTAAGTATATACAAAGACATAAATGAGTGTTTTTAATGTTTGTTTTCAAGTATGATGCAATTTACACGACTGAATTATTTTAACCGGTTTTCCGATTCAAATAGACGTGTACCTGCTATTTTTCTACACACATCTGTTTATCGTTGAGTTTATTCTTATATTTTGAAATATTGACATATAAATGAATATTTCAGTAATCTATTTTATTCATTCTGTACATGTGTGATGTTGAATTGTTATGCGTTATATTATGCCCTTTAGTAAATCCAATCTACAAGTATGCAAGTACGAAAAACGAGAATACCTACAGAAGAGCGGGGCTTACATGATACTGCTCTTGTCTTGAGACATGGAAAAATGTCTTAAGACGTTTAATTCCAATTTATTAAATAAAAGCATTTTTCTGCATGGTTGATTATTAATACATCTTTGACATTGTCCATGTCTTGAGACATACAGTAAATATCTTAAGATATGAAGAACTGTAAAAATATTTGTAATGGGGTCTTCTGTTGAAATTTTGTCGGTCGATAGTTATTTCTTTCCAAAAACTGCTAGAAATAGTTGCTGAATAAATTCAAAAGTTTACGGTATAAAGTGTCGTCGACAAAGAGGTTGACGTCTCATGCAATGAATGGATACGACAATACTAATACGGTTACCACAACACTTACTCTTATGGCTAATTTTGAGATAGTCGTTGTGCAAAAAGCAAAGTGTTAGTGGTTTATTAATTATTAACCCACTCCGAACCATTAACAGGGCCTATTTACACATCTGATCGTGTGCGTTGAATCGCTCTTTTGTTAACTATTAGATGATACACTACTAATTTACACATGTGTAGTGTTTACTTTTTCTATCATACTGTATAAAACTTCTACCTCACTACATCTGTTCTGTTGTCAGTATCTTCAAAAAATGAATACATGTTCAACCAAATGTTTCAAAACGCGTCAAACATGTCTTTGTAATGTCTACAGATTTGAATTTGAAATTAATATATGTGTGCATACGAATGTTCACTCTTATTTTTGTATAAAATAAGGACATCAAACAAAAGTATTGACAAACTATTGATTGTTTCAGTCTTCCATTAAATTTTTGTTCTGAAAGTCGAAAATAATTCCAAAATACTTAGCCTAACAAAAATATTTTATGTCTTTAGATAGAAAATGAAAATGTTCATACTTTGTAGATGTCTAATGACTTGCCTTATCGGAATCTCGTATTTGCATTTTAAAGATACCTAGCCTTACAAAAATATTATATGTCTTGAGATAGAAAATAAATATCTTGATACTTTATTGATGTCTAAGGACTAATCGGTCTATCATATTTGTATTTTGAAGATAAAATACAAAATAAAAAAAACATCAAAATGAAACTAACATAATCATTCTATTAATTTGTAGATTTTTATAATGGGTAAACTTTGTCACGTACATCTATATTCATAAGTTTTTGTTTAATTTCTCACTCAGAGCCAAGAACTGTATTTTCTGACAAGTGTAATTTCACGGTGAATCAAATTTGCAAGAAATGTAAGTATATACAAAGATATAAATGCGTGTTTTTAACGTTTGTTTTCAAGTATGCTGCAATTTACACGACTGAATTATTTTAACCGGTTTTCCGATTCAAATAAACGTGTACCTGATATTTTTCAACATACATCTGTCGTCTTTTATCGTTGAGTTACTCTTATATTTTGAAATATTGACATATAAATGAATATTTCAGTAATCTATTTTATTCATTCTGTACATGATATGTGTGATGTTGAATTGTTATCAATATGCGTTATATTATGCCCTTTAGTAAATCGAATCTTCCGGTATGCAAGTACGAAAAACGAGAATACCTACAGAAGAGCGGGACTTACATGATACTGTGAATGTCTTGAGACATGGAAAAATGTCTTAAGACGTTTAATTCCAGTTTATTATATAAAAGCGTTTTTCTGCATGGTTGATTATAAATACATCTTTGACATTGTCCATGTCTTGAGACATACAGTAAATATCTTAAGATATGAAGTTGAACTGTAAAAATATTTGCAATGGGGTCTTTTGTTGAAATTGTGTCGGTCGATAGTTATTTCTTTCGAAAAATTGCTACAAATAGTTGCTGAATGAATTCAAAAGTTTACGGTATAAAGTGTCGTCGACAAAGAGGTTGACGTCTCATGCAATGAATGGATACGACAATACTAATACGGTTACCACAACACATACTCTTATGGCTAATTTTGAAATAGTCGTTGTGCAAAAAGCAAAGTGTTAATGGTTTATTAATTATTAACCCACTCCGAACCATAAACAGAGCCTATTTACACATCTGATCGTGTGCGTTGAATCGCTCTTTTGTTAACTATCAGATGATACACTACTAATTTACACATGTGTAGTGTTTACTTTTTCTATCATACTGTATAAAACTTCTACCTCACTACATCTGTTCTGTTGTCAGTATCTTCAAAAAATGAATACATGTTCAACCAAATGTTTCAAAACGCGTCAAACATGTCTTTGTAATGTCTACAGATTTGAATTTGAAATAAATTATGTGTGCATACGAATGTTCACTCTTATTTTTGTATACAATAAAGACATCAAACAAAAGTATTGACAAACTATTGATTGTTTCAGTCTTCCATTAAATTTTTGTTCTGAAAATCGAAAATAATTCCAAAATACTTAGCCTAACAAAAATATTTTATGTCTTTAGATAGAAAATGAAAATGTTCATACTTTGTAGATGTGTAAGGACTTGCCTTATCGGAATCTCGTATTTGCATTTTGAAGATATCTAGCCTTACAAAAATATTATATGTCTTGAGATAGAAAATAAATATCTTGATACTTTATTGATACTAAGGGCTAATCGGTGTATCATATTTGTATTTTGAAGATAAAATACAAAATAGATAAAACATCAAAATGAAATTAACATAATCATTCTATTAATTTGTAGATTTTTATAATGGGTAAACATTGTCACGTACATGAATATTCATAAGTTTTTCTTTAATTTCTCACTCAGAGCCAAGAACTGTATTTTCTGACAAGTGTAATTTCACGGTAAATCAAATTTGCAAGAAATGTAAGTATATAAAAAGACATAAATGCGTGTTTTTAACGTTTGTTTTCAAGTATGATGCAATTTACACGACTGAATTATTTTAACCGGTTTTCCGATTGTAATAAACGTTTACCTGATATTTTTCAACACACATCTGTCGTCTTTTATCGTTGAGTTTATTCTTATATTTTGAAATATTGACATATAAATGAATATTTCAGTAATCTATTTTATTCATTCTGTACATGTGTGATGTTGAATTGTTATCAATATGCGTTATATTATGCCCTTTAGTAAATCCAATCTTCCGGTATGCAAGTACGAAAAACGAGAATACCTACAGAAGAGCGGGACTTACATGATACTGCTCATGTCTTGAGACATGGAAAAATGTCTTCAGACGTTTAATTCCAGTTTATTATATAAAAGCATTCATAGCAAATGAACCTCATTGTCTTAAGACATCTCGAGACAGTCTTGAGACATACACCTAATGTCTTGAGACATAGCGCATACGTCTTAAGACATGAAACCATTTAAGATGTGTCTTGAGACATGGATTCTATGTCTTAAGACATGTATCTTTAAGACATTATTGAAACTTCAAAAAGTGTATCCTCTTAAAAAAATTTGTTGGTGTCTTGAAGACATTGAAACAAAAAATTACCAGTGGCCCTTAAAACACACAAAAAACGTTTTTATATGCAAAATTTATTTTGATAGAAGACAACTAATTGACAAGATAATGTAAGGTGATTTCCGTGAATAAGGACAAGATTTTTTTTTATGACATTGTAATTTTTTTACAATAAAATTGATAAATTTTCACTTCTTCTGAGATCAACAATGCTTCCCGATTAATTTTTTTTAAGGGAAAACTAGAATTCCAAAGTTCCTCTGATAGTCTGGGTCAAAACATGTCATAGAGGATTGAATTTTTTATACTTCGCTCAAGAGATAATGGGATGTTGCTCCACAAATAACCCATTCAAAGATAACATCTCTAGAAAACGTATGTCCTAGATAGAATGTTTCCTTCACATTCATGATCATATCCCATTGAACCTCCAGTAGTGACTTGAAAATAGAAGTATGGTCACTCTTGGTCTTCTTTGTACCAACAGTAAAACCATTGCCAAAGTGAGCCATTCATTTGACTGTGCAGGATGTACAAGTAAGCAGACAGAATGGGGATGTTTAATCCGATTCCTTGTGTAGAGACAGTGCCACCCTTTGCATGTTAAGAACCCTTGCAACAAGAGGAATTCTGCAGGTGGCCTATTGCAAGGCAACATTTCTGTTCCTTTCCACTAAACCCTCATTTTTTAGTGGCAGTTTAAATTTCCCTGATATTCATCCCTGACGGCTTTTATTAAGAACTTCCCAATATCATATACCGGTATTGTTCATTTATTCTTCTAAACAGGCATGAAATATTTGACACTGCAAATGTTAACCAATCAATCAATCACATTGACATATTCTTATTCTGATATTCAGGTATTTGCTACTGGCCTTAAAACACGAACCCTGTCCCATCAGCATTATCATCATATTTTGTCTAAGCATCATTTATATTATATATACAAGCCTTAAATAAAAATAACCTTCAAACCTTTGATTGCGATTGTATATGTGTGCATAAATAAATTTCTTGGAAGAGGGGTATAAATACAGCACAAACAACATTTTCAATCACCAAAAAAATGAAAAAAATATATTTTAACAACCGCATTTGACTAGCAGGTCCACCAACAGATGATCTTAAACCCTGCTGATTGCATTGATTGCAAAATAAACGGATCGCTAGATGTACAAAATGGATCTTAATATAAACAAGTCTAAATTAAAAACAACGTTCAAACCCATGATTGCATTGGATAAAAACCGCAAATATTTTTGTATGCATGCTTAACAAATTTCTTGGTAGAGAAGTCTATACACCTCCTCTCAAATATGACTACCTTCATATGTATATAGATATAAAAATATGTGGTTTGAGTGCCAATGAGACAACTCTCCATCCTAGTCACAATTGGTAAAAGTAAACCATTATAGGTCAAAGTACAGCCCTCAACACAGAGCCAAGGCTCACAACAAACAGCAAGCAATAAAGGGCCTTTCGGACAGGAAAATCAATGGTCGAAGATATATAAAAATTGAGAAACAATTATTAACCACATAAAAAAGCCCACTGAACATCAGGTTCCTGACATAGGGAAGGTGCAAACAAATGCACTGGGTTTAAACGTTTTACCTGGCACCAGCCTTCACCCTAACCTGATACAGTGGTTCATGCATTTAAACTATTATTGATCTTTATCGAAAATATATGAACACTTCCATGACTTCAGTTGTAATATCTTTTTTTGAAAACAATACCTTCCAAAATAAATGTTTCTCACCCCTTACTAATATTCACAGATGACAAATATTTCAGTTATGTTTTAGTCAACTTTAATTTTCAAATAAATAGAATTGTATAAGCAACACAAATGAATTAAATTAATGTCAAAGATTTGATTCCAAACTATGTTTCTTCTTTCTTGCATGCTGAAGTTGTATTCTTATCTGTAAATATAGATTGAAATAAAATATTAATTTACATGGCATTTATGAGTTTGTTTATTAATAATTTCAGCTTTAAAAAAAATTCACAACAGTATCTACTTATAGGTGTATTATCTGTTCTTAATATAAATTCCAACATATAGTATTACACTGTACTATCTTTGCATAACTGAACTAAAGCAAAAATGAAAATCAATAAAAGAACAGAGTTCCAATGTCCCCAATGTTGCATATATCTTATCTATTAAATACAAGGGCAATACCTCAATAAATGGTGAATGTGTTCATGTGACACAGATATCATATAAATTCATAAAGGGACATAACTGAAGAACATGTAAAAGCGATGCTACCCAAATTTGTACTTGATCAGAGTTTTGTGGTAATAAGTATGGTGTATAAGTTTCATAACATTTTGTCAAGGCAAACTCAAGTTAGTGAACTGAAAGGAAAAATTCAGCAATTTTTCAGCAATTTTTCTATTTTTTAAAGGGTCATAATATAGATATATTACAAGAAGATGTGGTATGAGTGCCAATGAGACAACTCTCACTCCAAGTCACAATTTGAAAAAGAAAACTAGAGGCTCTGAAGAGCCTGTGTCGCTCACCTTGGTCTATGTGCATATTAAACAAAGGACACAGATGGATTCATGACAAAATTGTGTTTTGGTGATGGTGATGTGTTTGAAGATCTTAATTTACTGAACATTCTTGCTTCTAACAATTATCTCTATCTATAATGCACTTTGCCAAGTAGTTACAGAGGAAAATATTTTGTAAAAATTTACCAAAATTTATGAAAATTGTAAAAAAATGACTATAAAGGGCAATAACTCCTTAATGGGTCAATTGACCATTTTGATCATGTTGACTTATATGTAGGTCTTACTTTGCTGTACATTATTGCTGTTTACAGTTTATCTCTATCTATAATAATATTGAAGATAATTACTAAAAAGCTGCAAAATTTTCGAAAATTACCAATTCAGAGGCAGCAACCCAACAACTGGTTGTCTGATTCATCTGAAAATTTCAGGACAGATAGATTGTGACATAATGAACATTTTTCCCCCCATGTCAGATTTGTTCTTTATGCTTTGGTTTCAGAGATATGAGCCAAAAACTGCATTTTACCCTATGTACTATTTTTAGCAATGTCGGCCATCTTGGTTTGCAAGCGGGGTCTTCGGACACATTTTTTAAACTAAATACCTTAATGATGATTGTGGACAAGTTTTGTTAAATTTGTCTCAGTAGTTTTTGAGGAGAAGTTTTTTGTACAAAAAATTGTTAAAAATTGACTATAAAGGGCAATTATTCCTTAAGAGGTCTACTGACCATTTTGGTCACGTTGACTTAATTGTAGGTCTTACTTTGCTGTACATTATTGCTGTTTACAGTTTATCTCTATCTATAATAATATACAAGACTAGAGGCTCTCAAGAGCCTGTGTCGCTCACCTGTATTTACTGATGCTTAGGAAATCATGTAAAATAAGGTTAAAATCATAATTAATAGTATTAGATATTAGATATTATAATGATATCTAAGATAATAACAAAAAACTGCAAAATTTTTGTAAAATAACAAACTCAGGGGCAGCAACCCAACAACGGGTTGTCGGATTCGTCTGAAAATTTCAGGGCAGATAAATCTAAATCTGATGAACATTTTTGCCACCTGTCAGATTTGCTCTAAATGCTTTAGTTTCAGAAATATAAACCAAACACTGAATTTTACCCCTATGTTCTAGTTTTAACCAAGTCGGCCATGATGGTTGGAAGGCGGGGTAATCGGACAAATTTTTTAAACTAGATACCCTAATAATGATTATGGCCAAGTATGGTTAAATTTGTCTCAGTAGTTTCAGAGAAAAAGATTTTTGTAAAAGATTACAAAAATTTACAAAAAATTGTTAAAAATTGACTATTAAGGGCAATAACTCCTAAAGGGGTCGACTGACAGTTTTGGTCATGACAACTTATTTGTAGATCTTACTTTGCTGAACATTATTGCTGTTTACAATTCATCTCTATCTATAATAATATTCAAGATAATAACCAAAAACTGCAAAATTTCCTTTAAATTACCAATTCAGGGGCAGCAACCCAACAACAGGTTGTCAGATTTGTCTGACAATTTCAGGGAAAATAGATCTTGACCTGATAATCAGTTTAACCAATGTCAGATTTACTCTTAATGCTTTGGTTTCAGAGATATAAGCCAAAATCTACATTTTACCCCTATGTTCTGTTTTTAGCCATGGCGGCCATCTTGGTTGATTGGCCGGGTCACCGGACACATTTTTAAAACTATATACCCCAATGATGATTGTGGCCAAGTTTGGTTTAATTTGGCCCAGTAGTTTCAGAGGAGAAGATTTTTGCAAAAGTTAACAACGACGGACGACGGATGCCAAGTGATGAGAAAAGCTCACTTGGTACTATGGGCCAGCTGAGCTAAAAACATTATAGGTCAAAATCAAGCTTCAACACGAAGATTTAGCTCTCACAGAACAGTAGGCTATAAAGGGCCCCAAAAATGACTAGTGTAAAACCATTCAAAAGGGAAAACCAACAGTCTAATCTATGTAAAAAACAAGAAACGTTTTAATTCTAGAACATTAAAAGTGACACCACCAAAATTCAATCTTGCTCTGTTTTTTGCGGTAATAAATATTGTGTATAAGTTTTATAACATTTGGTTGAGGCTAACTTAAAATGACTTAAGTTAGAAAACAGAAACGGAAAATTCAGCAGTTTTCATATTTGTAAAGGGGCATACCTCTAGAACGGTTAAAATGACACCAACAAAATTCAATCGTGATACGTGAAATAAATTAAGTAAATTAAAAGCAAACTAAATATTACTGTTATATACATATACAGATTCATCGATCTATAATCTGTCTATACCTGTATCTTGGCATTGCACAATGTCATGTTTTTCTCTGACTGTTTATGACTTCTTTACACTAAATCCATTGGATGTTGGAAGTGTACTGATTAATAATTTAGTCTAAGATGCATGATTTTTTTATTAGATGTTAGTGGCTTTGAACTAGCTGCCAGTAACTGTGAGTACTCTCAGATCTGCACTTAGTGTCTTTTTGTTGTTGGGATAAATATACAAGCACTCAGCCATGTCTACTCTGTGTCGTATTTTTATTTGTATCCATTTGATGAGTTAAGCCTTTTTCAACTGATTTTTATAGTTTGTTCTTATGTTGTACTGTCACACCACTGTCCCAGGTTAGAGGGAGGGTTTGGATCTCGCTTACATGTTGAACCCCACCCCCACGCATTCTGTATGTATGTGCCTGTCCCAAGTCAGGAGCCTCTTATTCAGTGGTTGATGCTTGTTGATGTGTTACATATTTTTTTTTCGTTAATTTTTTTGTTCATAAATTAGGCTGCTTGTTTTCTCGTTTGAATTGTATTACATTTGTCATTTCAGGGCCTTTTATAGCTGACTATGCGGTATGGGGTTTGCTCATTGCTGAAGGTTGTACGGTTAACTATACTTGTTAATTTCTGTGTCATTTGGTCTCTTGTGGAGAGTTGTCTCATTAGCAATCATACCACATCTTCTTTTTTTTATATTTGGGACATTAAAGGAAACAATTCTTTTAAAAATATTTGATCTGCAATGATTTTCAAACTTGTCTAAAATATTGATGACATAAACCTTAACATAAATGTCATAAAAATCTGGTAAGAATTGTACACATTAGAGCACTCATAAGGCAATTTTCCATATAATGAATGTTTCCAAGGGGCATACATTATCTATATATATGTTAATAGTTAAGTCTTAATACCTTAAACAAACAGCCTTCAAGTTCCTCAGGCATGTCAGGAAACACTTTCTAGTAAATAAGATATGTCCTATCCCCATTGATTCATTCTTTGGATTTTATATGCAAAATATTCCCCTGAAAAAAATATATGATTACTAATTCATGTGATCATGCATACTCCGACTTCTCTTGAACTGAATTTTACTGTGTGTATTGTTATGCGTTTACTTTTCTACATTGGCTAGAGGTATAGGGGGAGGATTGAGATCTCAAAAAACATGTTTAACCCCGCCGCATGTTTGCGCCTGTCCCAAGTCAGGAGCCTCTAGCCTTTGTTAGTCTTGTATGGTTTTTAATTTTAGTTTCTTGTGTATAATTCGGAGTTTAGTATGACGTCCATTATCACTGAACTTGTAAAGATATTTGTTTAGGGGCCAGCTGAAGGACGCCTCCGGGTGCGGGAGTTTCTCGCTACATTGAAGACCTATTGGTGACCTTCTGCTGTTATCTGTTCTATGGTCGGGTTGTTGTCTCTTTGACACATTCCCCATTTCCATTCTCAATTTTATACTAATATGTTGTTGAATAACTCATTGACATTGGAAACAAATGTATTGCATTACTTATCAATGCTTATTATTAATACATTTACTTTGACCAACAGGATACTATTCTGTGGAAAAGTTTCATTTTTTTCACAATAAATATATATTTTTTGTACATGTACAAAAACCATTTCATTAATCTCAGGGATACAACATCCAGTGCATACATGTACATGTTTTTGCCAGCTGGAACTCATTCACTTTACTGAAATATTAGTTTGGAAGAAATTTTACAATTGCTATATATATATATGTTGTAATGCATTAATAAGTAATTGGTAGGAATAACACATGTTAGAAAATATTTTTAAACATTTTTACTCAGCCATCATGGTCATGGAAAATTGAACCCACTACCATGGAAAAATTGACACACTTAGAAACTATATATACCTCAATATTGACCTGCCCAAGAGCTACATGATTATCTAGTTATTGCGGCATTAAAACTACATGTACAAATGCATGTATCCAGTGACGGATCCAGACATTTTCATAAGGGGGCCCGCTCCGGACATGCTTTAGTGATTCCCTAGATATAATTAGCCAAATATTTCCCACAAAAAGGGGGAGGGGGGCAGGCTCCCGTCCCCCCTTAAAAAACACCTCTGGTATCTAAAAACTAGAGGCTCTAAAGATTTACAAAATTTATGAAAATTGTTAAAAATTGACTGTAAACTCCTTAAGGGGTAGATTGACCATTTTAGTCATATTGACTTATTTGTAGGTCTTACTTTGCTGTACATTATTGCTGTTTACAGTTTATCTCTATCTATAATAATATCCAATAATAACTAAAAGCTGCGAAATTTTCTTTAAATTACCAATTCAGGGGCAGCAACCCAACAACCAGTTGCCTGAATGATCTGAAAATTTCAGGGCAGATAGATTTTGACCTATTGAACAATTTTAACCTGTCAGTTTTGCTTTAAATGCTTTGGTTTTTTAGAGATATGAGCCAAAAACTGCATTTTACCCTATGTACTATTTTTAGCCATGTCAGCCATCTAGGTTTGCGGGCGTGGTCATCGGACACAATTTTAAAACTACATACCCTAATGATGATTGTGAACAAGTTTGGTTAAATTTGTCTTTGTACATTTTGTAGTTTCAGAGGAGAAGATTTTTGTAAAAGATTACAAAAATTTACGAAAAATTGTTAAAAATTGACTATAAAGGGCAATAACTCCTTAAGGATGTATTCTTCTGACATTGCAGTCTCGTTGAAATCTCGTTCTGGAATTATTTCCAAAACATATGATACAAGTGTAAAATATCAATGAATTTTAAAAAAATTATAGTCAAACAGAACTCTGTGAAAAAATTGTGTACGAACAATGCATAGTTTTTGAGTAATCTAGTTTTCAAATTTTATGACCAATCAAGTCAGTCTTTTTAGCCAAAATTTTGAGAAAATGGGTGAGGGGTACAAAAAATTATTTTACAAGAATCATGTACATCCCATATCATTTTTGTCTTTTCAAATTTCTTAGATATGTACTTTTTCAATCATTTATAACAAAAAAGTTGAAGTAATATGTATTTTGTTCTTAAAACTGAGAAAAAAACACAAATTTTCAAAATTGACGGCATGGTAAATTTGACACAAAAAAGCATCAACATATGATAAAAATTTCTTATATTAACACCTACCTATAGTTTTTTAAAGTTAAATTTATTCAGATTGGTCCACTTCATCTTTATTAAAAGTATGAAATAAAGTTTTAATTGTAGAACTGTAATTGTTTTCACGATAATAGCCCAAAAATAGTTAAAAATTGATGAAAAATGGGAAAATCATCAAAATTGGATATTTTCAAAAGGCCGTAGCAAAAAAAGAAGTGCACCATCATATGATTGCTATAACTTGAAAGATGTAAATTTATTGATTTTTTTTTTAATTTGGAGAAGGCGGGAAGGGGATTGTGTTGTTTACGTGGTTTATTTTCTTTATTTTAAATTGCATTGCCTTAAGTAATCATGATGCTAAATATCTTACTTATTTCATACACAGACTAAAGGATGTAGTGTGTTTTCAAATACGCCAAACACTATTCTAAAGCAATGTCTCAAGACATAGATGTGACAAAAATGTGTCTTGAGACATATCTCTATACACAGTTTTATGTCTCTTAAGATGCCTTTAAGACCTTTAAGACGTGTCTATCAGACGCTTCTTCAAGTCCGTCTCAAGAAGCGTCTTGGAAATTTGTCTCAAGACAAGGATGTTCATTTGCTGTGTTTGTTTAATTTCTAACTCAGAGCCAAGAACTGTATTTTTTGACAAGTATAATTTCACGGTGAATCAAATTTTCAAGAAATGTAAGTATATACAAAGACATAAATGAGTGTTTTTAATGTTTGTTTTCAAGTATGATGCAATTTACACGACTGAATTATTTTAACCGGTTTTCCGATTCAAATAGACGTGTACCTGCTATTTTTCTACACACATCTGTTTATCGTTGAGTTTATTCTTATATTTTGAAATATTGACATATAAATGAATATTTCAGTAATCTATTTTATTCATTCTGTACATGTGTGATGTTGAATTGTTATGCGTTATATTATGCCCTTTAGTAAATCCAATCTACAAGTATGCAAGTACGAAAAACGAGAATACCTACAGAAGAGCGGGGCTTACATGATACTGCTCTTGTCTTGAGACATGGAAAAATGTCTTAAGACGTTTAATTCCAATTTATTAAATAAAAGCATTTTTCTGCATGGTTGATTATTAATACATCTTTGACATTGTCCATGTCTTGAGACATACAGTAAATATCTTAAGATATGAAGAACTGTAAAAATATTTGTAATGGGGTCTTCTGTTGAAATTTTGTCGGTCGATAGTTATTTCTTTCCAAAAACTGCTAGAAATAGTTGCTGAATAAATTCAAAAGTTTACGGTATAAAGTGTCGTCGACAAAGAGGTTGACGTCTCATGCAATGAATGGATACGACAATACTAATACGGTTACCACAACACATACTCTTATGGCTAATTTTGAGATAGTCGTTGTGCAAAAAGCAAAGTGTTAGTGGTTTATTAATTATTAACCCACTCCGAACCATTAACAGAGCCTATTTACACATCTGATCGTGTGCGTTGAATCGCTCTTTTGTTAACTATTAGATGATACACTACTAATTTACACATGTGTAGTGTTTACTTTTTCATCATACTGTATAAAACTTCTACCTCACTACATCTGTTCTGTTGTCAGTATCTTCAAAAAATGAATACATGTTCAACCAAATGTTTCAAAACGCGTCAAACATGTCTTTGTAATGTCTACAGATTTGAATTTGAAATTAATATATGTGTGCATACGAATGTTCACTCTTATTTTTGTATAAAATAAGGACATCAAACAAAAGTATTGACAAACTATTGATTGTTTCAGTCTTCCATTAAATTTTTGTTCTGAAAGTCGAAAATAATTCCAAAATACTTAGCCTAACAAAAATATTTTATGTCTTTAGATAGAAAATGAAAATGTTCATACTTTGTAGATGTCTAATGACTTGCCTTATCGGAATCTCGTATTTGCATTTTAAAGATACCTAGCCTTACAAAAATATTATATGTCTTGAGATAGAAAATAAATATCTTGATACTTTATTGATGTCAAAGGACTAATCGGTCTATCATATTTGTATTTTGAAGATAAAATACAAAATAAAAAAAACATCAAAATGAAACTAACATAATCATTCTATTAATTTGTAGATTTTTATAATGGGTAAACTTTGTCACGTACATCTATATTCATAAGTTTTTGTTTAATTTCTCACTCAGAGCCAAGAACTGTATTTTCTGACAAGTGTAATTTCACGGTGAATCAAATTTGCAAGAAATGTAAGTATATACAAAGATATAAATGCGTGTTTTTAACGTTTGTTTTCAAGTATGCTGCAATTTACACGACTGAATTATTTTAACCGGTTTTCCGATTCAAATAAACGTGTACCTGATATTTTTCAACATACATCTGTCGTCTTTTATCGTTGAGTTACTCTTATATTTTGAAATATTGACATATAAATGAATATTTCAGTAATCTATTTTATTCATTCTGTACATGTGTGATGTTGAATTGTTATCAATATGCGTTATATTATGCCCTTTAGTAAATCGAATCTTCCGGTATGCAAGTACGAAAAACGAGAATACCTACAGAAGAGCGGGACTTACATGATACTGTGAATGTCTTGAGACATGGAAAAATGTCTTAAGACGTTTAATTCCAGTTTATTATATAAAAGCGTTTTTCTGCATGGTTGATTATAAATACATCTTTGACATTGTCCATGTCTTGAGACATACAGTAAATATCTTAAGATATGAAGTTGAACTGTAAAAATATTTGCAATGGGGTCTTCTGTTGAAATTGTGTCGGTCGATAGTTATTTCTTTCGAAAAATTGCTACAAATAGTTGCTGAATGAATTCAAAAGTTTACGGTATAAAGTGTCGTCGACAAAGAGGTTGACGTCTCATGCAATGAATGGATACGACAATACTAATACGGTTACCACAACACATACTCTTATGGCTAATTTTGAAATAGTCGTTGTGCAAAAAGCAAAGTGTTAATGGTTTATTAATTATTAACCCACTCCGAACCATAAACAGAGCCTATTTACACATCTGATCGTGTGCGTTGAATCGCTCTTTTGTTAACTATCAGATGATACACTACTAATTTACACATGTGTAGTGTTTACTTTTTCTATCATACTGTATAAAACTTCTACCTCACTACATCTGTTCTGTTGTCAGTATCTTCAAAAAATGAATACATGTTCAACCAAATGTTTCAAAACGCGTCAAACATGTCTTTGTAATGTCTACAGATTTGAATTTGAAATTAATATATGTGTGCATACGAATGTTCACTCTTATTTTTGTATACAATAAAGACATCAAACAAAAGTATTGACAAACTATTGATTGTTTCAGTCTTCCATTAAATTTTTGTTCTGAAAATCGAAAATAATTCCAAAATACTTAGCCTAACAAAAATATTTTATGTCTTTAGATAGAAAATGAAAATGTTCATACTTTGTAGATGTGTAAGGACTTGCCTTATCGGAATCTCGTATTTGCATTTTGAAGATATCTAGCCTTACAAAAATATTATATGTCTTGAGATAGAAAATAAATATCTTGATACTTTATTGATGTCAAAGGACTAATCGGTCTATCATATTTGTATTTTGAAGATAAAATACAAAATAGATAAAACATCAAAATGAAATTAACATAATCATTCTATTAATTTGTAGATTTTTATAATGGGTAAACATTGTCACGTACATGAATATTCATAAGTTTTTCTTTAATTTCTCACTCAGAGCCAAGAACTGTATTTTCTGACAAGTGTAATTTCACGGTGAATCAAATTTGCAAGAAATGTAAGTATATAAAAAGACATAAATGCGTGTTTTTAACGTTTGTTTTCAAGTATGATGCAATTTACACGACTGAATTATTTTAACCGGTTTTCCGATTGTAATAAACGTTTACCTGATATTTTTCAACATACATCTGTCGTCTTTTATCGTTGAGTTTATTCTTATATTTTGAAATATTGACATATAAATGAATATTTCAGTAATCTATTTTATTCATTCTGTACATGTGTGATGTTGAATTGTTATCAATATGCGTTATATTATGCCCTTTAGTAAATCCAATCTTCCGGTATGCAAGTACGAAAAACGAGAATACCTACAGAAGAGCGGGACTTACATGATACTGCTCATGTCTTGAGACATGGAAAAATGTCTTCAGACGTTTAATTCCAGTTTATTATATAAAAGCATTCATAGCAAATGAACCTCATTGTCTTAAGACATCTCGAGACAGTCTTGAGACATACACCTAATGTCTTGAGACATAGCGCATACGTCTTAAGACATGAAACCATTTAAGATGTGTCTTGAGACATGGATTCTATGTCTTAAGACATGTATCTTTAAGACATTATTGAAACTTCAAAAAGTGTATCCTCTTAAAAAAATTTGTTGGTGTCTTGAAGACATTGAAACAAAAAATTACCAGTGGCCCTTAAAACACACAAAAAACGTTTTTATATGCAAAATTTATTTTGATAGAAGACAACTAATTGACAAGATAATGTAAGGTGATTTCCGTGAATAAGGACAAGATTTTTTTTTATGACATTGTAATTTTTTTACAATAAAATTGATGAATTTTCACTTCTTCTGAGATCAACAATGCTTCCCGATTAATTTTTTTTAAGGGAAAACTAGAATTCCAAAGTTCCTCTGATAGTCTGGGTCAAAACATGTCATAGAGGATTGAATTTTTTATACTTCGCTCAAGAGATAATGGGATGTTGCTCCACAAATAACCCATTCAAAGATAACATCTCTAGAAAACGTATGTCCTAGATAGAATGTTTCCTTCACATTCATGATCATATCCCATTGAACCTCCAGTAGTGACTTGAGAATAGAAGTATGGTCACTCTTGGTCTTCTTTGTACCAACAGTAAAACCATTGCCAAAGTGAGCCATTCATTTGACTGTGCAGGATGTACAAGTAAGCAGACAGAATGGGGATGTTTAATCCGATTCCTTGTGTAGAGACAGTGCCACCCTTTGCATGTTAAGAACCCTTGCAACAAGAGGAATTCTGCAGGTGGCCTATTGCAAGGCAACATTTCTGTTCCTTTCCACTAAACCCTCATTTTTTAGTGGCAGTTTAAATTTCCCTGATATTCATCCCTGACGGCTTTTATTAAGAACTTCCCAATATCATATACCGGTATTGTTCATTTATTCTTCTAAACAGGCATGAAATATTTGACACTGCAAATGTTAACCAATCAATCAATCACATTGACATATTCTTATTCTGATATTCAGGTATTTGCTACTGGCCTTAAAACACGAACCCTGTCCCATCAGCATTATCATCATATTTTGTCTAAGCATCATTTATATTATATATACAAGCCTTAAATAAAAATAACCTTCAAACCTTTGATTGCGATTGTATATGTGTGCATAAATAAATTTCTTGGAAGAGGGGTATAAATACAGCACAAACAACATTTTCAATCACCAAAAAAATGAAAAAATATATTTTAACAACCGCATTTGACTAGCAGGTCCACCAACAGATGATCTTAAACCCTGCTGATTGCATTGATTGCAAAATAAACGGATCGCTAGATGTACAAAATGGATCTTAATATAAACAAGTCTAAATTAAAAACAACGTTCAAACCCATGATTGCATTGGATAAAAACCGCAAATATTATATGTATGCATGCTTAACAAATTTCTTGGTAGAGAAGTCTATACACCTCCTCTCAAATATGACTACCTTCATATGTATATAGATATAAAAATATGTGGTTTGAGTGCCAATGAGACAACTCTCCATCCTAGTCACAATTGGTAAAAGTAAACCATTATAGGTCAAAGTACAGCCCTCAACACAGAGCCAAGGCTCACAACAAACAGCAAGCAATAAAGGGCCTTTCAGACAGGAAAATCAATGGTCGAAGATATATAAAAATTGAGAAACAATTATTAACCACATAAAAAAGCCCACTGAACATCAGGTTCCTGACATAGGGAAGGTGCAAACAAATGCACTGGGTTTAAACGTTTTACCTGGCACCAGCCTTCACCCTAACCTGATACAGTGGTTCATGCATTTAAACTATTATTGATCTTTATCGAAAATATATGAACACTTCCATGACTTCAGTTGTAATATCTTTTTTTGAAAACAATACCTTCCAAAATAAATGTTTCTCACCCCTTACTAATATTCACAGATGACAAATATTTCAGTTATGTTTTAGTCAACTTTAATTTTCAAATAAATAGAATTGTATAAGCAACACAAATGAATTAAATTAATGTCAAAGATTTGATTCCAAACTATGTTTCTTCTTTCTTGCATGCTGAAGTTGTATTCTTATCTGTAAATATAGATTGAAATAAAATATTAATTTACATGGCATTTATGAGTTTGTTTATTAATAATTTCAGCTTTAAAAAAAATTCACAACAGTATCTACTTATAGGTGTATTATCTGTTCTTAATATGAATTCCAACATATAGTATTACACTGTACTATCTTTGCATAACTGAACTAAAGCAAAAATGAAAATCAATAAAAGAACAGAGTTCCAATGTCCCCAATGTTGCATATATCTTATCTATTAAATACAAGGGCAATACCTCAATAAATGATGAATGTGTTCATGTGACACAGATATCATATAAATTCATAAAGGGACATAACTGAAGAACATGTAAAAGCGATGCTACCCAAATTTGTACTTGATCAGAGTTTTGTGGTAATAAGTATGGTGTATAAGTTTCATAACATTTTGTCAAGGCAAACTCAAGTTAGTGAACTGAAAGGAAAAATTCAGCAATTTTTCAGCAATTTTTCTATTTTTTAAAGGGTCATAATATAGATATATTACAAGAAGATGTGGTATGAGTGCCAATGAGACAACTCTCACTCCAAGTCACAATTTGAAAAAGAAAAACTAGAGGCTCTGAAGAGCCCGTGTCGCTCACCTTGGTCTATGTGCATATTAAACAAAGGACACAGATGGATTCATGACAAAATTGTGTTTTGGTGATGGTGATGTGTTTGAAGATCTTAATTTACTGAACATTCTTGCTTCTAACAATTATCTCTATCTATAATGCACTTTGCCAAGTAGTTACAGAGGAAAATATTTTGTAAAAATTTACCAAAATTTATGAAAATTGTAAAAAAATGACTATAAAGGGCAATAACTCCTTAATGGGTCAATTGACCATTTTGATCATGTTGACTTATATGTAGGTCTTACTTTGCTGTACATTATTGCTGTTTACAGTTTATCTCTATCTATAATAATATTGAAGATAATTACTAAAAAGCTGCAAAATTTTCGAAAATTACCAATTCAGAGGCAGCAACCCAACAACTGGTTGTCTGATTCATCTGAAAATTTCAGGACAGATAGATTGTGACATAATGAACATTTTTCCCCCCATGTCAGATTTGTTCTTTATGCTTTGGTTTCAGAGATATGAGCCAAAAACTGCATTTTATCCTATGTACTATTTTTAGCAATGTCGGCCATCTTGGTTTGCAAGCGGGGTCTTCGGACACATTTTTTAAACTAAATACCTTAATGATGATTGTGGACAAGTTTTGTTAAATTTGTCTCAGTAGTTTTTGAGGAGAAGATTTTTGTAAAAGATTAAAAAAATTTACAAAAAATTGTTAAAAATTGACTATAAAGGGCAATTATTCCTTAAGAGGTCTACTGACCATTTTGGTCACGTTGACTTAATTGTAGGTCTTACTTTGCTGTACATTATTGCTGTTTACAGTTTATCTCTATCTATAATAATATACAAGACTAGAGGCTCTCAAGAGCCTGTGTCGCTCACCTGTATTTACTGATGCTTAGGAAATCATGTAAAATAAGGTTAAAATCATAATTAATAGTATTAGATATAAGTTATTATAATGATATCTAAGATAATAACAAAAAACTGCAAAATTTTTGTAAAATAACAAACTCAGGGGCAGCAACCCAACAACGGGTTGTCGGATTCGTCTGAAAATTTCAGGGCAGATAAATCTAAATCTGATGAACATTTTTGCCACCTGTCAGATTTGCTCTAAATGCTTTAGTTTCAGAAATATAAACCAAACACTGAATTTTACCCCTATGTTCTAGTTTTAACCAAGTCGGCCATGATGGTTGGAAGGCGGGGTAATCGGACAAATTTTTTAAACTAGATACCCTAATAATGATTATGGCCAAGTATGGTTAAATTTGTCTCAGTAGTTTCAGAGAAAAAGATTTTTGTAAAAGATTACAAAAATTTACAAAAAATTGTTAAAAATTGACTATTAAGGGCAATAACTCCTAAAGGGGTCGACTGACAGTTTTGGTCATGACAACTTATTTGTAGATCTTACTTTGCTGAACATTATTGCTGTTTACAATTTAACTCTATCTATAATAATATTCAAGATAATAACCAAAAACTGCAAAATTTCCTTAAAATTACCAATTCAGGGGCAGCAACCCAACAACAGGTTGTCAGATTTGTCTGACAATTTCAGGGAAAATAGATCTTGACCTGATAATCAGTTTAACCAATGTCAGATTTACTCTAAATGCTTTGGTTTCAGAGATATAAGCCAAAATCTACATTTTACCCCTATGTTCTGTTTTTAGCCATGGCGGCCATCTTGGTTGATTGGCCGGGTCACCGGACACATTTTTAAAACTATATACCCCAATGATGATTGTGGCCAAGTTTGGTTTAATTTGGCCCAGTAGTTTCAGAGGAGAAGATTTTTGCAAAAGTTAACAACGACGGACGACGGATGCCAAGTGATGAGAAAAGCTCACTTGGTACTATGGGCCAGCTGAGCTAAAAACATTATAGGTCAAAATCAAGCTTCAACACGAAGCTTTAGCTCTCACAGAACAGTAGGCTATAAAGGGCCCCAAAAATGACTAGTGTAAAACCATTCAAAAGGGAAAACCAACAGTCTAATCTATGTAAAAAACAAGAAACGTTTTAATTCTAGAACATTAAAAGTGACACCACCAAAATTCAATCTTGCTCTGTTTTTTGCGGTAATAAATATTGTGTATAAGTTTTATAACATTTGGTTGAGGCTAACTTAAAATGACTTAAGTTAGAAAACAGAAACGGAAAATTCAGCAGTTTTCATATTTGTAAAGGGGCATACCTCTAGAACGGTTAAAATGACACCAACAAAATTCAATCGTGATACGTGAATTAAATTAAGTAAATTAAAAGCAAACTAAATATTACTGTTATATACATATACAGATTCATCGATCTATAATCTGTCTATACCTGTATCTTGGCATTGCACAATGTCATGTTTTTCTCTGACTGTTTATGACTTCTTTACACTAAATCCATTGGATGTTGGAAGTGTACTGATTAATAATTTAGTCTAAGATGCATGATTTTTTTATTAGATGTTAGTGGCTTTGAACTAGCTGCCAGTAACTGTGAGTACTCTCAGATCTGCACTTAGTGTCTTTTTGTTGTTGGGATAAATATACAAGCACTCAGCCATGTCTACTCTGTGTCGTATTTTTATTTGTATCCATTTGATGAGTTAAGCCTTTTTCAACTGATTTTTATAGTTTGTTCTTATGTTGTACTGTCACACCACTGTCCCAGGTTAGAGGGAGGGTTTGGATCTCGCTTACATGTTGAACCCCACCCCCACGCATTCTGTATGTATGTGCCTGTCCCAAGTCAGGAGCCTCTTATTCAGTGGTTGATGCTTGTTGATGTGTTACATATTTTTTTTTCGTTAATTTTTTTGTTCATAAATTAGGCTGTTTGTTTTCTCGTTTGAATTGTATTACATTTGTCATTTCAGGGCCTTTTATAGCTGACTATGCGGTATGGGGTTTGCTCATTGCTGAAGGTTGTACGGTTAACTATACTTGTTAATTTCTGTGTCATTTGGTCTCTTGTGGAGAGTTGTCTCATTAGCAATGATACCACATCTTCTTTTTTTATATTTGGGACATTAAAGGAAACAATTCTTTTAAAAATATTTGATCTGCAATGATTTTCAAACTTGTCTAAAATATTGATGACATAAACCTTAACATAAATGTCATAAAAATCTGGTAAGAATTGTACACATTAGAGCACTCTAAGGGGCATACATTATCTATATATATGTTAATAGTTAAGTCTTAATACCTTAAACAAACAGCCTTCAAGTTCCTCAGGCATGTCAGGAAACACTTTCTAGTAAATAAGATATGTCCTATCCCCATTGATTCATTCTTTGGATTTTATATGCAAAATATTCCCCTGAAAAAAATATATGATTACTAATTCATGTGATCATGCATACTCCGACTTCTCTTGAACTGAATTTTACTGTGTGTATTGTTATGCGTTTACTTTTCTACATTGGCTAGAGGTATAGGGGGAGGATTGAGATCTCAAAAAACATGTTTAACCCCGCCGCATGTTTGCGCCTGTCCCAAGTCAGGAGCCTTTAGCCTTTGTTAGTCTTGTATGGTTTTTAATTTTAGTTTCTTGTGTATAATTCGGAGTTTAGTATGACGTCCATTATCACTGAACTTGTAAAGATATTTGTTTAGGGGCCAGCTGAAGGACGCCTCCGGGTGCGGGAGTTTCTCGCTACATTGAAGACCTATTGGTGACCTTCTGCTGTTATCTGTTCTATGGTCGGGTTGTTGTCTCTTTGACACATTCCCCATTTCCATTCTCAATTTTATACTAATATGTTGTTGAATAACTCATTGACATTGGAAACAAATGTATTGCATTACTTATCAATGCTTATTATTAATACATTTACTTTGACCAACAGGATACTATTCTGTGGAAAAGTTTCATTTTTTTCACAATAAATATATATTTTGCGTACATGTACAAAAACCATTTCATTAATCTCAGGGATACAACATCCAGTGCATACATGTACATGTTTTTGCCAGCTGGAACTCATTCACTTTACTGAAATATTAGTTTGGAAGAAATTTTACAATTGCTATATATATATATGTTGTAATGCATTAATAAGTAATTGGTAGGAATAACACATGTTAGAAAATATTTTTAAACATTTTTACTCAGCCATCATGGTCATGGAAAATTGAACCCACTACCATGGAAAAATTGACACACTTAGAAACTATATATACCTCAATATTGACCTGCCCAAGAGCTACCTGATTATCTAGTTATTGCGGCATTAAAACTACATGTACAAATGCATGTATCCAGTGACGGATCCAGACATTTTCATAAGGGGGCCCGCTCCGGACATGCTTTAGTGATTCCCTAGATATAATTAGCCAAATATTTCCCACAAAAAGGGGGAGGGGGGCAGGCTCCCGTCCCCCCTTAAAAAACACCTCTGGTATCTAAAAACTAGAGGCTCTAAAGATTTACAAAATTTATGAAAATTGTTAAAAATTGACTGTAAACTCCTTAAGGGGTAGATTGACCATTTTAGTCATATTGACTTATTTGTAGGTCTTACTTTGCTGTACATTATTGCTGTTTACAGTTTATCTCTATCTATAATAATATCCAATAATAACTAAAAGCTGCGAAATTTTCTTTAAATTACCAATTCAGGGGCAGCAACCCAACAACCAGTTGCCTGAATGATCTGAAAATTTCATGGCAGATAGATTTTGACCTAATGAACAATTTTAACCTGTCAGTTTTGCTTTAAATGCTTTGGTTTTTTAGAGATATGAGCCAAAAACTGCATTTTACCCTATGTACTATTTTTAGCCATGTCAGCCATCTAGGTTTGCGGGCGTGGTCATCGGACACAATTTTAAAACTACATACCCTAATGATGATTGTGAACAAGTTTGGTTAAATTTGTCTTTGTACATTTTGTAGTTTCAGAGGAGAAGATTTTTGTAAAAGATTACAAAAATTTACGAAAAATTGTTAAAAATTGACTATAAAGGGCAATAACTCCTTAAGGATGTATTCTTCTGACATTGCAGTCTCGTTGAAATCTCGTTCTGGAATTATTTCCAAAACATATGATACAAGTGTAAAATATCAATGAATTTTAAAAAAATTATAGTCAAACAGAACTCTGTGAAAAAATTGTGTACGAACAATGCATAGTTTTTGAGTAATCTAGTTTTCAAATTTTATGACCAATCAAGTCAGTCTTTTTAGCCAAAATTTTGAGAAAATGGGTGAGGGGTACAAAAAATTATTTTACAAGAATCATGTACATCCCATATCATTTTTGTCTTTTCAAATTTCTTAGATATGTACTTTTTCAATCATTTATAACAAAAAAGTTGAAGTAATATGTATTTTGTTCTTAAAACTGAGAAAAAAACACAAATTTTCAAAATTGACGGCATGGTAAATTTGACACAAAAAAGCATCAACATATGATAAAAATTTCTTATATTAACACCTACCTATAGTTTTTTAAAGTTAAATTTATTCAGATTGGTCCACTTCATCTTTATTAAAAGTATGAAATAAAGTTTTAATTGTGGAACTGTAATTGTTTTCACGATAATAGCCCAAAAATAGTTAAAAATTGATGAAAAATGGGAAAATCATCAAAATTGGATATTTTCAAAGGGCCGTAGCAAAAAAAGAAGTGCACCATCATATGATTTTTTCTTCAATTATTTTTTTATAGTCTTATAAACCCAAAAATCAGGTTAAGAAAAAAAGTTTAATACTAAAAATGTTTGGCTCCTCAGAGGTGTACATCCTTAAGGGGTCAACTGACCAAATCAACTGACCATTTTGGTCATGTTGACTTATTTGTAGATCTTACTTTGTTGAACATTAATGCTGTTAAAAGTTTATCTCTATCTACAATAATATTCAAGACAAGAGGCTCTCAAGAGCCTGAATCGCTTACCTTGATTTTTTGGCATTTATCTTTCGTTTAAGAGTTAAAGTGTCCAATTTCATCGTAGTTTTTTTTTTTTTTTTAATGTATATTAATAGGTGTTTGAAAATGCAGTTTTTTGTCATATTTTCTTTGGCTTCTGAAATATTAGCCAAAAACTGCATTTTACCCCTATGTTCTATTTTTAGCTATGGCGGCCATGTTTTTTGACGAAACAGAAAATAAAAGACAAACTTTATTCTAGACACCCTAAGTATAATTCAGCCTAAGTTTAGTTGGAATTGGTTCAGTGGTTTCAGAAAAGAAGATTTTTTAAAGTTAGAAAATATGATAAACAAATTTAAAATTGTCATTTAAGGGCAATAACTCTTTAAGGGGTCAATTGACAGTTTTGGTCATTCAAAACTTATTTGTAGATCTTACTTTCCTGGACATATTTGCTGTTTACAGTTTATCTTTATCATTAATACTATTCAAGATAATAACCAAAAACTGCAAAATTTCCTTAAAATTACCAATTTAGTGGCAGCAACCCAACAATGGGTTATTAGATTCATATGAAAATTTCAGGGCTGATAGAACGTTACCTTATGAACACTTTAACCACTGTCAGATTTGCTCTAACTGCTTTGGTTTTTGAGATATAAGCCAAAAACTGCATTTTATCCCTATGTTCTATTTTTAGCCATGGCGGCCATGTTTTTTGACGAAACAAAAAATAAAACACAAACTCTATTCTAGATACCCTAAGGATCATTCAGCTTAAGTTTGGTTGGAATTGGTTCAGTAGTTGCAGAGGAGAAGATGTTTGAAATAGTTGGATGGACAACGACGACGACGACGGACAACGATGGACGTGAAGTGATGGCCTTCGGAACGGTGAGCTAATAATAACCAAAAAAAACGGCAAAATTTCCATAAAATTACCAATTCAGGGGCAGCAACCTAACAACGGGTTGTCTGATTCATCTGAAAATTTCAGGGCAGATAGATCTTGACCTGATAAACAATTTAACCCATGTCAGATTTGCTCTAAAAACTTTGGTTTCAGAGATAAAAGCCACAATCTACATTTTACCCCTATGTTCTATTTTTAGCCATGGCGGCCATCTTGGTTGGTTGGCTGGGTCACCTGACACATTTTTTAAACTAGATACCCCAATGATGATTCTGGCCAAGTTTGGTTAAATTTGGTCCAGTAAGTTTCAGAGGAGAAGATTTTTGTAAAAGTTAACGACGACGGACGACAGACGACGGACACCAAGTGATGAGAAAAGCTCACTTGCCCTTTGGGCCAGGTGAGTTAAAAAATTATAATGCTGAAATAAGCATTCTGACTGAATAAACTATCCCCTAACAACTGTGCCTCTTGATTTCTTAATTTCAGATGACAATTGTATTTCAAATAGTAAATCTAGCTAAAATGCACAAATAGTATAAAGCATTGTATATACATGATATAGAAAACGTACAATGTATGTTGGGAAAAATGTCCCAACATTGTTTGGTAACCATGGTATTTTTACCCCCACTAATAATATTATAGATATGGATTTTCTTTATGGACCATAACTCTGGACTAAATCATCAGACCGGAATACCATTCAAACTTGATCTATAAAAATTTATAACAAACATTAAATCAATATCTTCAAGAACGAAGAAAAAAGTGTGGAAAACTGATTTGCCTGATGGATGGACAGACAGACGGACGGAGTGCAAACCTAAAGTCCCCATATTCTTCATCGGTAGGGGACCTAATTAAAAGCAAATTCCAAAATCAAGATTCTTTATTCAAAGCAAATTTATTATAAAGTTATAATTAACATAAGAGTAAGCAATTTTTCTTCTTAACATTTATTTAAGGTACAAAATATAGCATGATAAGCAGTAAACCTTCCCCCCCAATCCCAACTTTGGGAACACTGATAATTTTTATTTATACATACTTACATATCTGTTTCTAGCTGCAGCACATGTCTGAATTCTAATTTCTTGTGTACTTCATTTTACTCCTTTAGCCTTTCCAGTCCTGGGGCAATTTGCCAAATGTTTCATTTCTTGTGAATCCTAGTAGAAATGAAAATTGCTGGGTTTTAGTTTGTAATTTTCTTAAAAAAATAAACACATTTCAATTTTATTTATATATCTATTCTAGGGCATGCATGGCATGTAATATGCCTTAAGTGTTTTCCAGATTAACAGATTAGCTTGTACTGATCATGCTGAAAATTAATTTTGAGATGAAAACAGCAATTTTTGTAAAAGGGTCCGCAGGAGGAACTATAAATCATTGTTAATAGCACAAATAAACCAATTTCAAGCCTGCAGACGCAACCCAACTTGAACACACTTCCTCATTGTTGAAGGCCTTACAGTGACCTATACTCTCTAATTTCTGTGCCATTTGGTCTCTTGAGAAGAGTTGTCTCATTGGCAACCATACCATGCCATGTCACTTCTTTTTTATATTCCACAGACTTCATTCTTTCTGAAACACAAAATGCATTTAACTTTTAAATATCTAATGGATGACAGGCCTTAAAACTTTCCAAACTGCACAGGTAAGTCTGTACACAGAAGAGTTTTTGAGGTGTAAAACAGTGAATACAGCCACTTTTGTCCGTTTGTGATGATGAACCTTAACCCATTTAATGAGTTTTCAGACCTATTTGCAATCGCATTTTCCACTTTTTCATAAGTGGGGCGAGTTGGTAAACAAGAGAGGGGCGATGTTTTAGAAGGTTGGACGAGTTGGTGAAAAAGTGGGGCGATTTTCCAATGGGGCGAGTTGTTATGAATGGATTCTAACTGCATGAAATTATTGAAAGGTGGAAATAAAATATCTCTATCTGTAAAGAAATTACCTTTTCTTCGTTCTCCTTAACGATGCTATCATATCCATCTTTATCTAACTCTGGAAACTGGTCAAGATGCGTTTTCACTGGTAACATTTTTACAAGTGTTGCTGTATCTTTCACTTCCGGTATGACGTAGTTTGACAAAAATCGTGCAGACGAAAATATTAAAGTGAGGCCAAACAAACAAAAAATATAAATCTGATATGTATGTAAAGGTGTTATCTCCTTTGGGAACATAGTGCTGTTTACTTAGTAGCATTTTTTATTTAGCCATTTTTTTTCTAATTTGCACTAATATCAGAAATTAAAGACAGAATGTAGAAACATAGTCTTTGAGTGTCAGAATATTTTATTATTTATTTTCAACTAGAAGGTGGCCAGACCAGGACCAGCATATTTATTTTCTGCTACTCTAAAAAGTGACATAAAATCTGCAACCCTCTCCCCCCAAATGGTCGTACCCTTCGAAAATCCCTGCAGGCTTATATGGTACAGATCCAGAGGCGGATTTAGGTCATGAAGGTGGGGGCAAGGGCCCCCTTTTCTGGAAAAAAAAATGGTTGATTATATAGGGAATCACCGAAGCATGACTGGAGCGGGCCTCCTCTTAGGCAGTCAATGGGCCCCACTTATGAAAATTTCTGGATCCGCCACTGAGTCTGAGATCCCACTCTTTGGTAGGTTAAAGTTATAAAAATAGGGGACGATCTGTGTGGAAAAAGGAGGGGGGTGATGTTAAATTTGTTGAGGTGATAATGTTGATTTTTCTGGTTGCTATTGCTGGTCTTAATTGAATAGTTTGATATATTATTTGATTTGATTTAGTTTTTATTTCTGCAATTGTTTAAACAATCATTGTAATCATTGCATTTAAATTTAATGTAATTATTCAGCTCAGCTTTGGATGTTGTGATCTCAGAGGCTGTGATTAGCAATTCATTTTTTGTATTCTATTCTATTATTCTATTAATCATGATAGTAATAAGTGTGAATATTATATGAAAATCAGACAGAGACAATTATTTTATAATATTTTCTTTTTTGTGGCCAGAATACTTATTATTTTCATTTGTGATAAGGCAAGATTATTTCTTTCCAACTTAACATTTGCTAATTGCTAATAATGGGGGACAGAATATTTATTTCCAGAATCTGCCAGGCGCCTCCTCCATTAGACATTGTCAGAATCAAATGGTCACAAATACAAGCTCATATTTGTACAATTCTTTGTAACACCAATATAAAATAAGGAGATATGATTCCTATTAAATGAGACAGCTTATAATTCACCAAAGTTCAAATGAGTGGATGTAAGCAATTATTTATTGGCAATCATATTTTGTAGCCTTCAACAATGAGAAAAACCCATACTGACTGTATAGTTAGCTGTTAAGGAACCCAACATGAAAAATATGACGCCATTCTATTCAGAAAAACTACTGGCCTAATTTATGTTTCATTGGTCAGTGTTTAGTCTTCCAGCTTAAGGTGGTATGGGAATCTAAAATAAAAATGATAGAATTTTTTCATACCTTGCCAAAACGTAGTATCTATTGATATATGTTCAAAAATATAATGAAAATGATAGGTCACCGCGCATTTTCTCAAGCTATGTACAGGTTGTGACAAAATGACACATTTTGTATGGATTATACAGGAAAAAACACCATTTTGTGATTAGAAACTAAACAAAATGATAGAATTGTAAAATAAAATAGGAAAAGATAGCTTTCAGACAATACTTTGAGAATATCAAAAGAAAAGATAGGGTCACCGTACGTTTTTTCTGGCTAAAATACAAAAGAGGAAAATTCCATGTAGATTCCATCAGAAAATGCACTGTTTTAGAGTTACCTCCCCTTAAAATGCCAATTTAAAAACATTGAAAAAAAACAAAAATAATCTACACTTGTAAAAATATTAATATTCATAAGTTATATTCTTATAAATTGGTTCTTTTAAATGGAAATTCACATTAAATATCTGCATTCCTGCATCAAATTTTGCTAACTTGATAGAAAATCTGGACCTTAGGTTCTGTGTTTTTTACAATCCAAGATGGCGGAAGACACCCATACCACCTTAAGTCAGTTTTTCAGACACTACATGTACCGGTATCAGTAATAAACCTTAAGGTCAGCTAAATTTGATGTACCGGTATGGAATGATTGTAAGATGTACATGTAAGTTTGGCAGTGTTAATCTGACCATGACCACATTTTCATGGTTCCTTGGCCTATGTTTAGTTTTCCTGCTCAAGTCAATTTCTCAGATACAATTCAGTAATAAGGTCATATATAATTGATGTATGAAATTATTGTAAGGTGCACATGTCTGCCTGGCAGGGTTCATCTGACTTTGACCTCATTTTCATGGTTCATCATTCAATGTTAACTTTTCCTGCTTAAGTCAGTTTCTCAGATACTATAAGTGATAAGGTATTTGATGTATGGAATGATTGTATTATTAAGGTACACATGGCTGCCTGGCAGTGTTCATCTGACCTCGACTGCATTTTCATGGTTCATTAATGCAGTCTGCGCCAAACACTTTTTCATGTACTAGTCCGGAAACTTAATATCAAAAATTGTCCCTATATGACTATAAAATTTTGAAAATTTACACTAGTCCAAATCAATATTTACTAGTCTGGGGCATCAGAATGTAACCTCTTTTCGTATAATTTGAATAAGAAATTTACACACCACGAATTAGAAATTTAATATTGAGATTTAAATGCACATTTTTTATGCACATATCTCATTTTCATTCCTAGGATATATATGTTAGAATTAGAATAACTATAAACTTTCACTGAAAATTGTGACCGATAGATTTGAAGTTTTGTACCCAGAGCTCACACACAAATACACTGATCCACGGTTAAAACTAATAAAAGAGATTTAATTGAAATGATACTTTCCCAATTTATTCCATTTGATATTTCTATAAATGAATAACGATATGTTAACTCTAGGACTTCTGACCTCATGGTAAAGACACATTTTATTTATTTATACTTGTCATTTGTGTGATCAGATATTCATGATATTTTTTTATAAAGAAATACTAAATAAAATTAATTACTTGTTACTTTACAACCAATTGTTACTCATTCATCATATTTATTATCAAATATTCCAGGCATTTGAATCTACACTGATCCATGGACCAAAAATTCAAGAAGAACCGAATACATGTGTGAATAGATGTATTGGTTAAAGGAAAGAAAACTGCTAAGGTCAGTATGACATTAAAAATGAATTAATTATGATTAAATCAGTATACAAAAAACATTATTTTTTTCTAAAGCAGGCAGCAAAAGAGTTTGTTCATAAGAAAATCCCTTTTAAAATGATCACATAATTGTTTTTAAAGGATTGAGGGTTATAAATGAAGGTATAGTACAGTACAATATTACTACTAGTCAAGGATTAGCTTCTTCAAGAGTTGATCAGAGTAAGTAAAGAGAGGATGATGATTTTACATGTATCACAAAATTAATTGACATATATCATGTATATTGGATTAGTCAGGGATTAGGAAAGAAAGAGTTTACTACAACAACGAACCATACTGACAGACTGTAATGAGTTCACAGGAATGGTAAAAAGTTTACACATCATGTTTTTAAACAAGGAACAAGAACCGGAATTAAATAGTAGCTTCAACTTAGATAGAGCTCAATAATACCAATTGACCAACCAACAACGATGATTAATTATAAAAACAGTAGTTTAATGTAGATGAAAGAGGGGGGGGGGGGGGGGGGGGGAAAGACACAAGATGTTAGGACTCTATTTTAGATTGGACCACTGGAGGCTCACAATTACCCATACATTTGATATATATATACAAGACATCAATTAAGAAATAATTCATGAGGCTTGAATTTATTCGGATTTTACCATATGTTGGCTCTTTATGCTAAATATTTTTCCATGAGCGATAGTGAAGTCTTATTTGTAAAATAATGAAAAACAGATGAACCATACTGCTTCAAAAAATATGAAGTTCGAAGCTTGAAAAAGTGCTAATGATTCAGAGAAACCTCATAGATAACAACTGATACTAAGGTAAACAGACATTTTCAAGAATTTTCGTACGTCCTTTAACAATGAGCAAAGCCCACACCACAAAGTCAGCTATAAAAGGCCCTGAAAGAAAAACGTATAACTAATAATTCAAACTCGAAAACTAACGGCTATTATCAAGATTATCCAGGGCACAGAAACAGATTGAAACAACAATACTAGATTTTATAAGTCTTTTCAGTTTCAATCAATGATACGTAAATTTCACTCTCATTTGTATGACAAAAAAAGATCCCACCTTATACAGATTTTGAATATTGGAGTTATTATACTGCTCTCAATTAATGACTCATCAGCAATTGTCATTATTTGTGAGAAAATTTACCAGAAACAAAAAAAATGTATGTAGTTCAGAGACAATTGAAACTAGCAGAGCAAACAAGACATTTGTGACAGATTTATAGACTACTAAAAAAATTGAGAATGGAAATTAGGAATGTGTCAAAGAGACAACAACCTGACGAAAGTGCGGAAAACAGCCAAAGACCACCAATGGGTCTTCAAGGCCTTCTTTGAATTGTCCAACTCAGGTTAGTAGAGTCTGTCGAGTTAACTCATCTGACAACCGAACCCCCCTAGTTTGACCTTTTGAACCTACGCGAGTTAATTCGTCATCAACCCTGGGTCGGGGCAGATTTAGTCAAGTTTCAAGATGGCATCAAAGAATAACAACAAACAAAATTGATACAAAATAACTGGTTTTTGACTCAACAGTAAATTGCCTCACTACTGATGGGATATCACATTAACAAAAATATCAAAGCCCTTTAAAGGAAACCAAGCCAAGCCTGCCTCATGTGCCTAGAAGACAATTTAATGAACGGGAATCATTCTTATAAGACTTCAGGGATGATTCAGTGGAGGTTTACAGAATGGACCAATATTTTAAATAATTCACCAACCACTGAACAGCTATCTTTTTTAACATAGCATAAAATGCTATATACAGGTGACACAGAAGGGGACATGCAATTTTCTGAAGGTTACTGTAATTTCACAGAAGATATGGAGGTTATAAAACAATATTTAATAGGGACAAATTGTGAATATTTAGTTTAAAACAGGCAAACTTCATTATCTCCTTCTATAAAATTGAGAATGGAAATGGGGAATGTGTCAAAGCGACAACAACCCGACCATAGAGCATAGAACAGCCGAAGGCCACTAATGGGTGTTTTATCCTTGTTTTAAAAGTTTTGAAAATTATATGAAAGAAATATTTCTAAACCTTATTCAAGTTTTGTGCTACATAACAAGTTTCAGGATTCTACAATAACTTGTTTATATGAAGTTTTACCCTTGTCCGTCTGTACGTAAGTCCCAAAGCTGGTTTCTATTCTCTAACTTTAGATTGCCTCAACCAAACGTTATGAAACTTATACACTATGCTTATAACCACGAAATACAGATCAAGTACAAATTTTAGTACTGTCACTATTACCATTTTTTGTACTTTTATAAATTTATATGATAGACAATCGGGGGCATCATATATGTCCCATGGACACATTCCGTATTCATTCATGGAGCCAATGTTTCCTATGTGATTAGTCCCCTACCGACGAAGTCGAAGGGGACTTTAGGTTTGCACTCTGTCCGTCTGTCTGTCCGTCTGTCCATCCGTCAGTCCGGCAAATCAGTTTTCCGGACTTTTTTTCTTCATTCTTGAAAATATTGATTTGATATTTGGTGTATTGTTTTATCACGACAAGTTACAGGTCACGATTTTAGCTTTTCTCCTTGTTCAGTTAAAGCCCTTTCCCTAGAATTAAATTTTTGATGAAATACTTATTAATTACTAGATTTCTGTTCAAAGGGAAATAACTCATTTTTTAAAAAGATTTGTAAAAGACATTGTATTAAGACTTTTCCTTAGTAAATTGTTTGAAGAATTTAGTGGTAGGTTTGTTTGTTATTTTATGTAGTTTACACCATGACAAGTTATAGATCAAGTTAGAATTTCGTTCCATTACAATGAATTTTTAACCAGTAGGGGACTATGTATTGTCATGCAATACTCACAGAATGATTGTTATATTATACATATATACCTACACACATCCCAATATAAATGAACAAGAATATATCCATAGTACACAGGTGAACCATGCGCACTATCTTCTTCTATGTGCAGTGGACGGTGAAATTGTGGTCAAAACTCTGATTTAGCATTAAAATTTAAAAGATCATGTCATAAGGAACATTTGTATCAAGTTTTAAGTCAATTTGACTTCAACTTCATCAAAAACTGCCTTGACCAAAAATTGTAACCTGAACACTTGAACTATCATTTTCTATGCATTAAAATTAGGAGGGTCATATCATACATGTCATAGGGAAGTTCCGAACATGTGTACTTAGTTTCAAGTTGATTGGACTTCAACTTCATCAAAAACTACCTTGACCAAAACAATTCACCTGAAGCGAGACAGACAGACGGACGAACAAACAGATGCACAGAACAAAAAATATAATGTCTTAAGCTTGGTTTGCTGCTTGGTTTTTATTGTAATGGTCCAAAAATAACTTGTATTAACAAATTGTAACATTTGTCCACTTTGATTACTTGTAGATTTTTTAAAGCAAAGAGTTTTCCAAAATAAGTATGTATGTTCAACTGAGTTTTTAAAAAGAAGAGAGCTATTCTGACAAGTAAGTATTTATAATTACATACATAATGTATAAAACCCCGAATAAAACCTGTGATTTTTTCAGATATATTATGTTTGGGTTTTTTGACAGATCCTAATGTATTGTCTGACCCCAAAGATATTTTGGATATTTTTTCACCATAAATATATATATAACTTCCTACTATACAAAATTTTTTTTAACATGATTTCATCTGGGAATCCTGAATCTGGCAAGAATCTACTTTTTATAGTTGACTTTGATTACTGTTGGATTTTACTAAAAACATTTCTTATATAAGTAGACCTAGTATTTCAATTCTAGCGGAAAAACTATGCTAGTACTTACAAAATAGGCTTCAAATCATAATGATTCAGTTAACTTATAAAAAGAAATAACGGGGGAAAACATTCCATCCAACAGAATCAAATAAAACATAATAAAAGCATGTGCATGGGTAAAATACAGGCTTCAATAGCTAGCTGCTTATACAATGTGTCGAGTTCTTAATCGAAAGTGATGAATAATACTAGAGCTGATATATCCTAACTTTTTAGACTAATGGAAAATATTGAAGTTCTGAACTTGGGTCATGGAAATAGTTTAGAAAAAATAATTATAACAATTTGTAGAGTTACTGCCTTGCCAAGGAGCTGATGAAAAATTAGTATTTCAATTAAGAATTAAGGAGGCTCGAGGGTACAAACAATTTAGCAAAAATATAAACATTTTTGTTTTCATTACAAATTTTATTTATTACACTATTAATTGTAACTTCATGATATGGTACAAAAATCAACCAAAAACATCAATTCGTTTTGGCCCCAGATGACTTTTAAAAAGTTTATATCATTAAAAAAAGCTCCAAATTATCTCCCTTTGGTGAAAAAAATGCCATTTTTTTTTTCATACAAGCTGTACTTTCACTAAACTATTGTAAAATTTAAGCTATTTCTGTAATTAGGTTCTTTTTTAAATTTCGATATTACCTTTTTTCTCTTATTAGTTCAACAGAAAAAAGTACCTTAACAAAAATGCATGCTTTTTTCGAAGGCAGACTGTGAGCTTAAATGAACGGTAACCCCATATTTTTATTTTTTTTTCTATTAAGTATTGGATGAAGTTAATTTATACCACAAAATAGCGATATCCTATATTTCAGAAAAAATTTGATTTATGCCCTCTTTATGTCATTTTCTGTTTATCTCAAGGATAAAAGAATGATAACCAAACTTTATAAATTAAATAAAATAATTTTTCATTATTTTTTCAGAGTAGTGCCAAGATCTAGACATTGATTTGGGAACATAAGAAGACTTCTATTAGAAGTGCATAAAATCTGACATAGATTTGGAATCCTGCTCTATAATGACGTCATTTTGGACATCAATTGAAAGAACAGACGTGGATCTATATATTGCATTTATGAGAGCTCAATTTGAATTGTTTAAAAGGTCAGATAAGTCTCTAAATTGGTATTTTTCATATATTCTTTCATGTATGTTTCTTGTGGCTTGCTTGCTCATTTGGTTTCTTTTCTAGACTTATAATAATCCACTCCTTTCCGGGAAGTGATCAGATTTTGATTTAAATTGAATGTTAAAACTGATCATTGAATGGGTAGGTTTGGTGGAAAATCAACACAGTGTTGTATCTTTTTGTAAGAATGGTACCTTTGGATTGCTCTATGTTTTTCAATTCTAGATGGGTTTAAACTTTTATTGTTAAAATATTCATCGGCTGTGTCTGTGTGATTTTGAAGATAGGATTGAAATTTCAGAAATTTTCATGATGATATTTTCCTGCAGATTTCAGTAGTCTGAACACAACAAAGTTTTAATTGCAGTCAAGTGTTGCTCTTGTTGATCATTGTTCAGCATTTATCAAGATTTTTATAAATATGCCTTACGCAGTCAATTGCATAAAAATGTTTATTCACCAGTATTCATAATTCATCATTCTACCAAGCTATGAGTTTTGACATTTCCCCCATTCCCGTCTTCGTTTTCTTTTTAACTCTTTCTTCATATAACTTGAAAATTAAATTTACATCTTAGCTGAAGATGTCAAATTCTAACTTATTGAAAACCCATAACTAACCATAAAGATTTAGATTTATTGATTTAAAAAAAATGGAGAAAAGGGGAGGGGGTTGTGTTATTTATTTGGTTTATTTAGGGGTTTATTTTGAATTTCATTGCCTTAAGTTTTCATTATGGCAAACATCTTCCTTAATTCATACACAGAATAAAGGATGTGGTATGTTTTCAAATACACCAAACACTATTCTAAACCAATGTCTCAAGACATGGATGTGACAAAAATGTGTCTTGAGACATATCTCAAGACACAGTTTTATATGTCTCAAGATGTCTTTAAGACATGTCTTTAAGACACGGTGTCTATAAGACGCGTCTTTAAGTCCGTCTCAGGACTCGTCTTGGAAATTTGTCTCGAGACATCTCAAGATGTCTCAAGACAATGAGGTTCATTTGCTATGTTTTTCTGCATGGTTGAATATAAATACACCTTTGACATTGTCCATGTCTTGAGACATACAGTAAATATCTTAGGATATGACTTTGAACTGTAAAAATATTTGTAATGGGGTCTTCTGTCGAAATTTTGTCGGTCGATAGTTATTTCTTTTAAAAAACTGCTACAAAGAGTTGCTGAATAAATTCAAAAGTTTACGGTATAAAGTGTCTTCGACAAAGAGGTTGACGTCTCATGCAATGAATGGATACGACAATACTAATACGGCTACCACAACACATACTCTTATGGCTTATTTTGAGATTGTCGTTGTGCAAAAAGCAAAGTGTTAATGGTTTGTTAATTATTAACCCACTCCGAACCATTAACAGAGCCTATTCACACATCTGATTGTGTGCGTTAAATCGCTCTTTTGTTAACTATTAGATGATACACTACCAATTTACACATGTGTATTGTTTACTTTTTCTATCATACTGTATAAAATTTCTACCTCACTACATATGTTCTGTTGTCAGTATTTTCAAAAAATGAATACATGTTCAACCAAATGTTTCAAAACGCGTCAAACATGTCTTTGTAATGTCCACAGATTTGAAATTAATATATGTGTGCATACGAATGTTCACTCTTATTTTTGTATACAATAAAGACATCACAAAAAAGTATTGACAAACTATTAATTGTTTCAGTTTTCCATTTAATTTTTGTTCTGAAAATCGAAAATAATTCCAAAATACTTAGCCTAACAAAAATATTTTATGTTTTTAGATAGAAAATGAAAATGTTCATACTTTGTAGATGTCTAAGGTCTTGCCTAATCGGGATCTCGTATTTGCATTTTGAAGATACCTAGCCTTACACAAACATTATATGTCTTGAGATAGAAAATAAATATCTTGATACTGTATTGATGTCTAAGGACTAATCGATCTATCATATTTGTATTTTGAAGATAAAATACAAAATAAATAAAACATCAAAATGAAATTAACATAATCATTCTATTAATTTGTAGATTTTTATAATGGGTAAACATTGTCACATACATGAATATTCATAAGTTTTTCTTTATTTTCTCACTCAGAGCCAAGAACTGTATTTTCTGACAAGAGTAATTTAACGGTGAATCAAATTTTCAAGAAATGTAAATAAATACAAAGACATAAATGCGTGTTTTTAACGTTTGTTTTCAAGTATGATGCAATTTACACGACTGAATTATTTAAACCGGTTTTCCGATTCAAATAAACGTGTACCTGATATTTTTCAACACACAACTGTCGTCTTTTATCGTTGAGTTTATTCTTATATTTTGAAATATTGACATATAAATGAATATTTCAGTAATCTATTTTATTCATTCTGTACATGTGTGATGTTGAATTGTTATCAATGTGCGTTATATAATGCTCTTTAGTAAATCCAATCTACCGGTATGCAAGTACGAAAAACGAGAATACCTACAGAAGATCGGGGCTTACATGATACTGGTCTTGTCTTGAGACACGGAAAAATGTCTCAAGACGTTTAATTCTAGTTTATTATATAAAAGCATTTTTCTGCATGGTTGATTATAAACACACCTTTGACATTGCCCATGTCTTGAGACATACAGTAAATATCTTAAGATATGAAGTTGAACTGTAAAAATATTTTTAATGGGGTCTTCTGTTGAAATTTTGTCAGTCGATAGTTATTTCTTCAAAAAACTGATACAAATAGTTGCTGAATAAATTCAAAAGTTTACGGTATAAAGTGTCGTCGACAAAGAGGTTGACGTCTCATGCAATGACTGGATAAACCAATACTAATACGGCTACCACAACACATATTCTTATGGCTAATTTTGAGATTGTCGTTGTGCAAAAAGCAAAGTGTTAATGGTTTATTAATTATTAACCCACTCCGGACCATTAACAGAGCCTATTCACACATCTGATCGTGTGCGTTGAATCGCTCTTTTGTTAACTATTAGATGATACACTACCAATTTACACATGTGTAGTGTTTACTTGTTCTATCATACTGTATAAAACTTCTACCTCACTACATATGTTCTGTTGTCAATATCTTCAAAAAATGAGTACATGTTCAACCAAATGTTTCAAAACGCGTCAAACATGTCTTTGTAATGTCTACAGATTTGAATTTGAAATTAATATATGTGTGCATACGAATGTTCACTCTTACTTTTGTATACAACAAAGACATCAAATAAAAGTTATGAAAAACTATTGATTGTTTCAGTCTTCCATTAAATTTTTGTTCTGAAAATCGAAAATAATTCCAAAATACTTAGCCTAACAAAAATATTTTATGTTTTTAGATAGAAAATGAAAATGTTCATACTTTGTAGATGTCTAAGGTCTTGCCTAATCGGGATCTCGTATTTGCATTTTGAAGATACCTAGCCTTACACAAATATTATATGTCTTGAGATAGAAAATAAATATCTTGATACTTTATTGATGTCTAAGGACTAATCGATCTATCATATTTGTATTTTGAAGATAAAATACAAAATAAATAAAACATCAAAATGAAATTAACATAATCATTCTATTAATTTGTAGATTTTTATAATGGGTAAACATTGTCACGTACATGAATATTCATAAGTTTTTCTTTATTTTCTCACTCAGAGCCAAGAACTGTATTTTCTGACAAGAGTAATTCCACGGTTAATCAAATTTTCAAGAAATGTAAGTAAATACAAAGACATAAATGCGTGTTTTTAACGTTTGTTTTCAAGTATGATGCAATTTACACGACTGAATTATTTAAACCGGTTTTCCGATTCAAATAAACGTGTACCTGATATTTTTCTACACACATCTGTCGTCTTTTATCGTTGAGTTTATTCTTATATTTTGAAATATTGACATATAAATGAATATTTCAGTAATCTATTTTATTCATTCTGTACATGTGTGATGTTGAATTGTTATCAATATGCGTTATATAATGCCCTTTAGTAAATCCAATCTACCGGTATGCAAGTACGAAAAACGAGAATACCTAAAGAAGATCGGGGCTTACATGATACTGGTCTTGTCTTGAGACATGGAAAAATGTCTCAAGACGTTTAATTCCAGTTTATTATATAAAAGCATTTTTCTGCATGGTTGATTATAAATACACCTTTGGCATTGCCCATGTCTTGAGACATACAGTAAATATCTTAAGATATGAAGTTGAACTGTAAAAATATTGTTAATGGGGTCTTCTGTTGAGATTTTGTCGGTCAATAGGTATTTCTTTCAAAAAACTGATACAAATAGTTGCTGAATAAATTCAAAAGTTTACGGTATAAAGTGTCGTCGACAAAGAGGTTGACGTCTCATGCAATGACTGGATAAACCAATACTAATACGGCTACCACAACACATATTCTTATGGCTAATTTCGAGATTGTCGTTGTGCAAAAAGCAAAGTGTTAATGGTTTATTAATTATTAACCCACTCCGAACCATTAACAGAGACTATTTACACATCTGATCGTGTGCGTTGAATCGCTCTTTTGTTAACTATTAGACGATACACTACCAATTTACACCTGTGTAGTGTTTACTTTTTCTATCATACTGTATAAAACTTCTACCTCACTACATATGTTCTGTTGTCAATATCTTCAAAAAATGAGTACATGTTCAACCAAATGTTTCAAAACCCGTCAAACATGTCTTTGTAATGTCTACAGATTTGAATTTGAAATTAATATATGTGTGCATACGAATGTTCACTCTTACTTTTGTATACAATAAAGACATCAAATAAAAGTTATGACAAACTATTGATTGTTTCAGTCTTCCATTAAATTTTTGTTCTGAAAATCGAAAATAATTCCAAAATACTTAGCTTAAATACTTAACAAATAGTTGCTGAATAATACTTAACCGGTTTTCCGATTCAAATAAACGTGTACCTGATATTTTTCTACACACATCTGTCGTCTTTTATCGTTGAGTTTATTCTTATATTTTGAAATATTGACATATAAATGAATATTTCAGTAATCTATTTTATTCATTCTGTACATGTGTGATGTTGAATTGTTATCAATATGCGTTATATTATGCCCTTTAGTAAATCCAATCTACCGGTATGCAAGTACGAAAAACGAGAATACCTACAGAAGATCGGGGCTTACATGATACTGCTCATGTCTTGAGACATGGAAAAATGTCTCAAGACGTTTAATTCCAGTTTATTATATAAAAGCATTTTTCTGCATGGTTTATTATAAATACACTTTTGACATTGTCCTTGTCTTGAGACATACAGTAAATATCTTAAAATATGAAGTTGAACTGTAAAAATATTTGTAATGGGGTCTTTTGTTGAAATTTTGTCGGTCGATAGTTATTTCTTTCAAAAACTGATACAAATAGTTGCTGAATAAATTCAAAAGTTTACGGTATAAAGTGTCGTTGACAAAGAGGTTGACGTCTCATGCAATGAATGGATACGACAATACTAATACGGTTACCACAACACATACTCTTATGGCTAATTTTGAGATTGTCGTTGTGCAAAAAGCAAAGTGTTAATGGTTTTTTTAATTATTAACCCACTCCGAACCATTAACAGAGCCTATTCACATATCTGATCATGTGCGTTAAATCGCTCTTTTGTTAACTATTAGATGATACACTACCAATTAACACATGTGTAGTGTTTACTTTTTCTATCATACTGTATAAAACTTCTACCTCACTACAAATGTTCTGTTGTCAGTATCTTCAAAAAATGAATACATGTTCAACCAAATGTTTCAAAACGCGTCAAACGTGTCTTTGTAATGTCTACAGATTTGAATTTGAAATTAACATATGTGTGCATAGGAATGTTCACTCTTATTGTTATATACAATAAAGACATCAAACAAAAGTATTGACAAACTATTGATTGTTTCAGTCTTCCATTAAATTTTTGTTCTGACAATCGAAAATAATTCCAAAATACTTAGCCTAACAAAAATATTTTATGTCTTTAGATAGAAAATGAAAATGTTCATACTTTGTAGATGTCTAAAAACTTGCCTTATCGGAATCTCGTATTTGCATTTTGAAGATACCTAGCCTTACACAAATATTATATGTCTTGAGATAGAAAATAAATATCTTGATACTTTATTGATGTCTAAGGACTAATCGGTCTATCATATATGTATTTTGAAGATAAAATACAAAATAAATAAAACATCAAAATAAAATTAACATAATCATTCTATTAATTTGTAGATTTTTATAATGGGTAAACATTGTCACATACATGAATATTCATAAGTTTTTCTTTATTTTCTCACTCAGAGCCAAGAACTGTATTTTCTGACAAGAGTAATTTAACGGTGAATCAAATTTTCAAGAAATGTAAGTAAATACAAAGACATAAATGCGTGTTTTTAACGTTTGTTTTCAAGTATGATGCAATTTACACGACTGAATTATTTAAACCGGTTTTCCGATTCAAATAAACGTGTACCTGATATTTTTCTACACACATCTGTCGTCTTTTATCGTTGAGTTTATTCTTATATTTTGAAATATTGACATATAAATGAATATTTCAGTAATCTATTTTATTCATTCTGTACATGTGTGATGTTGAATTGTTATCAATATGCGTTATATTATGCCCTTTAGTAAATCCAATCTACCGGTATGCAAGTACGAAAAACGAGAATACCTACAGAAGATCGGGGCTTACATGATACTGCTCATGTCTTGAGACATGAAAAAATGTCTCAAGACGTTTAATTCCAGTTTATTATATAAAAGCATTTTTCTGCATGGTTTATTATAAATACAGTTTTGACATTGTCCTTGTCTTGAGACATACAGTAAATATCTTAAAATATGAAGTTGAACTGTTAAAATATTTGTAATGGGGTCTTTTGTTGAAATTTTGTCGGTCGATAGTTATTTCTTTCAAAAACTGATACAAATAGTTGCTGAATAAATTCAAAAGTTTTTGGTATAAAGTGTCGTCGACAAAGAGCTTGACGTCTCATGCAATGAATGGATACGACAATACTAATACGGTTACCACAACACATACTCTTATGGCTAATTTTGAGATTGTCGTTGTGCAAAAAGCAAAGTGTTAATGGTTTTTTTAATTATTAACCCACTCCGAACCATTAACAGAGACTATTTACACATCTGATCGTGTGCGTTGAATCGCTCTTTTGTTAACTATTAGACGATACACTACCAATTTACACATGTGTAGTGTTTAATTTTTCTATCATACTGTATAAAACTTCTACCTCACTACATATGTTCTGTTGTCAATATCTTCAAAAAATGAGTACATGTTCAACCAAATGTTTCAAAACGCGTCAAACATGTCTTTGTAATGTCTACAGATTTGAATTTGAAATTAATATATGTGTGCATACGAATGTTCACTCTTACTTTTGTATACAATAAAGACATCAAATAAAAGTTATGACAAACTATTGATTGTTTCAGTCTTCCATTAAATTTTTGTTCTGAAAATCGAAAATAATTCCAAAATACTTAGCCTAACAGAAATATTTTATGTCTTTAGATAGAAAATGAAAATGTTCATACTTTGTAGATGTCTAAAAACTTGCCTTATCGGAATCTCGTATTTGCATTTTGAAGATACCTAGCCTTACAAAAATATTATATGTCTTGAGATAGAAAATAAATATTTTGATACTTTATTGATGTCTAAGGACTAATCGGTCTATCATATATGTATTTTGAAGATAAAATACAAAATAAATAAAACATCAAAATAAAATTAACATAATCATTCTATTAATTTGTAGATTTTTATAATGGGTAAACATTGTCACATACATGAATATTCATAAGTTTTTCTTTATTTTCTCACTCAGAGCCAAGAACTGTATTTTCTGACAAGAGTAATTTAACGGTGAATCAAATTTTCAAGAAATGTAAGTAAATACAAAGACATAAATGCGTGTTTTTAACGTTTGTTTTCAAGTATGATGCAATTTACACGACTGAATTATTTAAACCGGTTTTCCGATTCAAATAAACGTGTACCTGATATTTTTCTACACACATCTGTCGTCTTTTATCGTTGAGTTTATTCTTATATTTTGAAATATTGACATATAAATGAATATTTCAGTAATCTATTTTATTCATTCTGTACATGTGTGATGTTGAATTGTTATCAATATGCGTTATATTATGCCCTTTAGGAAATCCAATCTACTGGTATGCAAGTACGAAAAACGAGAATACCTACAGAAGATCGGGGCTTACATGATACTGCTCATGTCTTGAGACATTGAAAAATGTCTCAAGACGTTTAATTCAGTTTCTTATATAAAAGCATTTTTCTGCATGGTTGATTATAAATACACCTTTGACATTGCCCATGTCTTGAGACATACAGTAAATATCTTAAGATATGAAGTTGAACTGTAAAAATATTGTTAATGGGGTCTTCTGTTGAAATTTTGTCGGTCAATAGGTATTTCTTTCAAAAACCTGATGCAAATAGTTGCTGAATAAATTCAAAAGTTTACGGTATAAAGTGTCGTCGACAAAGAGGTTGACGTCTCATGCAATGACTGGATAAACCAATACTAATACGGCTACCACAACACATATTCTTATGGCTAATTTTGAGATTGTCGTTGTGCAAAAAGCAAAGTGTTAATGGTTTATTAATTATTAACCCACTCCGAACCATTAACAGAGACTATTTACACATCTGATCGTGTGCGTTGAATCGCTCTTTTGTTAACTATTAGACGATACACTACCAATTTACACATGTGTAGTGTTTACTTTTTCTATCATACTGTATAAAACTTCTACCTCACTACAAATGTTCTGTTGTCAGTATCTTCAAAAAATGAATACATGTTCAACCAAATGTTTCAAAACGCATCAAACGTGTCTTTGTAATGTCTACAGATTTGAATTTGAAATTAACATATGTGTGCATAGGAATGTTCACTCTTATTTTTATATACAATAAAGACATCAAACAAAAGTATTGACAAACTATTGATTGTTTCAGTCTTCCATTAAATTTTTGTTCTGACAATCGAAAATAATTCCAAAATACTTAGCCTAACAAAAATATTTTATGTCTTTAGATAGAAAATGAAAATGTTCATACTTTGTAGATGTCTAAAAACTTGCCTTATCGGAATCTCGTATTTGCATTTTGAAGATACCTAGCCTTACAAAAATATTATATGTCTTGAGATAGAAAATAAATATCTTGATACTTTATTGATGTCTAAGGACTAATCGGTCTATCATATATGTATTTTGAAGATAAAATACAAAATAAATAAAACATCAAAATAAAATTAACATAATCATTCTATTAATTTGTAGATTTTTATAATGGGTAAACATTGTCACATACATGAATATTCATAAGTTTTTCTTTATTTTCTCACTCAGAGCCAAGAACTGTATTTTCTGACAAGAGTAATTTAACGGTGAATCAAATTTTCAAGAAATGTAAATAAATACAAAGACATAAATGCGTGTTTTTAACGTTTGTTTTCAAGTATGATGCAATTTACACGACTGAATTATTTAAACCGGTTTTCCGATTCAAATAAACGTGTACCTGATATTTTTCTACACACATCTTTCGTCTTTTATCGTTGAGTTTATTCTTATATTTTGAAATATTGACATATAAATGAATATTTCAGTAATCTATTTTATTCATTCTGTACATGTGTGATGTTGAATTGTTATCAATATGCGTTATATTATGCCCTTTAGTAAATCCAATCTACTGGTATGCAAGTACAAAAAACGAGAATACCTGCAGAAGATCGGGGCTTACATGATACTGCTCATGTCTTGAGACATTGAAAAATGTCTCAAGACGTTTAATTCAGTTTATTATATAAAAGCATTTTTCTGCATGGTTGATTATTAATACACCTTTGACATTGCCCATGTCTTGAGACATACAGTAAATATCTTAAGATATGAAGTTGAACTGTAAAAATATTGTTAATGGGGTCTTCTGTTGAAATTTTGTCGGTCGATAGTTATTTCTTTCAAAAAACTGATACAAATAGTTGCTGAATAAATTCAAAAGTTTACGGTATAAAGTGTCGTCGACAAAGAGGTTGACGTCTCATGCAATGACTGGATAAACCAATACTAATACGGCTACCACAACACATATTCTTATGGCTAATTTTGAGATTGTCGTTGTGCAAAAAGCAAAGTGTTAATGGTTTATTAATTATTAACCGACTCCGAACCATTAACAGAGACTATTTACACATCTGATCGTGTGCGTTGAATCGCTCTTTTGTTAACTATTAGACGATACACTACCAATTTACACCTGTGTAGTGTTTACTTTTTCTATCATACTGTATAAAACTTCTACCTCACTACATATGTTCTGTTGTCAATATCTTCAAAAAATGAGTACATGTTCAACCAAATGTTTCAAAACCCGTCAAACATGTCTTTGTAATGTCTACAGATTTGAATTTGAAATTAATATATGTGTGCATACGAATGTTCACTCTTACTTTTGTATACAATAAAGACATCAAATAAAAGTTATGACTAACTATTGATTGTTTCAGTCTTCCATTAAATTTTTGTTCTGAAAATCGAAAATAATTCCAAAATACTTAGCTTAAATACTTAACAAATAGTTGCTGAATAATACTTAACCGGTTTTCCGATTCAAATAAACGTGTACCTGATATTTTTCTACACACATCTGTCGTCTTTTATCGTTGAGTTTATTCTTATATTTTGAAATATTGACATATAAATGAATATTTCAGTAATCTATTTTATTCATTCTGTACATGTGTGATGTTGAATTGTTATCAATATGCGTTATATTATGCCCTTTAGTAAATCCAATCTACCGGTATGCAAGTACGAAAAACGAGAATACCTACAGAAGATCGGGGCTTACATGATACTGCTCATGTCTTGAGACATGGAAAAATGTCTCAAGACGTTTAATTCCAGTTTATTATATAAAAGCATTTTTCTGCATGGTTTATTATAAATACACTTTTGACATTGTCCTTGTCTTGAGACATACAGTAAATATCTTAAAATATGAAGTTGAACTGTAAAAATATTTGTAATGGGGTCTTTTGTTGAAATTTTGTCGGTCGATAGTTATTTCTTTCAAAAACTGATACAAATAGTTGCTGAATAAATTCAAAAGTTTACGGTATAAAGTGTCGTTGACAAAGAGGTTGACGTCTCATGCAATGAATGGATACGACAATACTAATACGGTTACCACAACACATACTCTTATGGCTAATTTTGAGATTGTCGTTGTGCAAAAAGCAAAGTGTTAATGGTTTTTTTAATTATTAACCCACTCCGAACCATTAACAGAGCCTATTCACATATCTGATCATGTGCGTTAAATCGCTCTTTTGTTAACTATTAGATGATACACTACCAATTAACACATGTGTAGTGTTTACTTTTTCTATCATACTGTATAAAACTTCTACCTCACTACAAATGTTCTGTTGTCAGTATCTTCAAAAAATGAATACATGTTCAACCAAATGTTTCAAAACGCGTCAAACGTGTCTTTGTAATGTCTACAGATTTGAATTTGAAATTAACATATGTGTGCATAGGAATGTTCACTCTTACTTTTGTATACAATAAAGACATCAAATAAAAGTTATGACTAACTATTGATTGTTTCAGTCTTCCATTAAATTTTTGTTCTGAAAATCGAAAATAATTCCAAAATACTTAGCTTAAATACTTAACAAATAGTTGCTGAATAATACTTAACCGGTTTTCCGATTCAAATAAACGTGTACCTGATATTTTTCTACACACATCTGTCGTCTTTTATCGTTGAGTTTATTCTTATATTTTGAAATATTGACATATAAATGAATATTTCAGTAATCTATTTTATTCATTCTGTACATGTGTGATGTTGAATTGTTATCAATATGCGTTATATTATGCCCTTTAGTAAATCCAATCTACCGGTATGCAAGTACGAAAAACGAGAATACCTACAGAAGATCGGGGCTTACATGATACTGCTCATGTCTTGAGACATGGAAAAATGTCTCAAGACGTTTAATTCCAGTTTATTATATAAAAGCATTTTTCTGCATGGTTTATTATAAATACACTTTTGACATTGTCCTTGTCTTGAGACATACAGTAAATATCTTAAAATATGAAGTTGAACTGTAAAAATATTTGTAATGGGGTCTTTTGTTGAAATTTTGTCGGTCGATAGTTATTTCTTTCAAAAACTGATACAAATAGTTGCTGAATAAATTCAAAAGTTTACGGTATAAAGTGTCGTTGACAAAGAGGTTGACGTCTCATGCAATGAATGGATACGACAATACTAATACGGTTACCACAACACATACTCTTATGGCTAATTTTGAGATTGTCGTTGTGCAAAAAGCAAAGTGTTAATGGTTTTTTTAATTATTAACCCACTCCGAACCATTAACAGAGCCTATTCACATATCTGATCATGTGCGTTAAATCGCTCTTTTGTTAACTATTAGATGATACACTACCAATTAACACATGTGTAGTGTTTACTTTTTCTATCATACTGTATAAAACTTCTACCTCACTACAAATGTTCTGTTGTCAGTATCTTCAAAAAATGAATACATGTTCAACCAAATGTTTCAAAACGCGTCAAACGTGTCTTTGTAATGTCTACAGATTTGAATTTGAAATTAACATATGTGTGCATAGGAATGTTCACTCTTACTTTTGTATACAATAAAGACATCAAATAAAAGTTATGACAAACTATTGATTGTTTCAGTCTTCCATTAAATTTTTGTTCTGAAAATCGAAAATAATTCCAAAATACTTAGCCTAACAGAAATATTTTATGTCTTTAGATAGAAAATGAAAATGTTCATACTTTGTAGATGTCTAAAAACTTGCCTTATCGGAATCTCGTATTTGCATTTTGAAGATACCTAGCCTTACAAAAATATTATATGTCTTGAGATAGAAAATAAATATTTTGTTACTTTATTGATGTCTAAGGACTAATCGGTCTATCATATATGTATTTTGAAGATAAAATACAAAATAAATAAAACATCAAAATAAAATTAACATAATCATTCTATTAATTTGTAGATTTTTATAATGGGTAAACATTGTCACATACATGAATATTCATAAGTTTTTCTTTATTTTCTCACTCAGAGCCAAGAACTGTATTTTCTGACAAGAGTAATTTAACGGTGAATCAAATTTTCAAGAAATGTAAGTAAATACAAAGACATAAATGCGTGTTTTTAACGTTTGTTTTCAAGTATGATGCAATTTACACGACTGAATTATTTAAACCGGTTTTCCGATTCAAATAAACGTGTACCTGATATTTTTCTACACACATCTGTCGTCTTTTATCGTTGAGTTTATTCTTATATTTTGAAATATTGACATATAAATGAATATTTCAGTAATCTATTTTATTCATTCTGTACATGTGTGATGTTGAATTGTTATCAATATGCGTTATATTATGCCCTTTAGTAAATCCAATCTACCGGTATGCAAGTACGAAAAACGAGAATACCTACAGAAGATCGGGGCTTACATGATACTGCTCATGTCTTGAGACATGGAAAAATGTCTCAAGACGTTTAATTTCAGTTTATTATATAAAAGCATTTTTCTGCATGGTTTATTATAAATACAGTTTTGACATTGTCCTTGTCTTGAGACATACAGTAAATATCTTAAAATATGAAGTTGAACTGTTAAAATATTTGTAATGGGGTCTTTTGTTGAAATTTTGTCGGTCGATAGTTATTTCTTTCAAAAACTGATACAAATAGTTGCTGAATAAATTCAAAAGTTTTTGGTATAAAGTGTCGTCGACAAAGAGGTTGACGTCTCATGCAATGAATGGATACGACAATACTAATACGGTTACCACAACACATACTCTTATGGCTAATTTTGAGATTGTCGTTGTGCAAAAAGCAAAGTGTTAATGGTTTTTTTAATTATTAACCCACTCCGAACCATTAACAGAGACTATTTACACATCTGATCGTGTGCGTTGAATCGCTCTTTTGTTAACTATTAGACGATACACTACCAATTTACACATGTGTAGTGTTTAATTTTTCTATCATACTGTATAAAACTTCTACCTCACTACATATGTTCTGTTGTCAATATCTTCAAAAAATGAGTACATGTTCAACCAAATGTTTCAAAACGCGTCAAACATGTCTTTGTAATGTCTACAGATTTGAATTTGAAATTAATATATGTGTGCATACGAATGTTCACTCTTACTTTTGTATACAATAAAGACATCAAATAAAAGTTATGACAAACTATTGATTGTTTCAGTCTTCCATTAAATTTTTGTTCTGAAAATCGAAAATAATTCCAAAATACTTAGCCTAACAGAAATATTTTATGTCTTTAGATAGAAAATGAAAATGTTCATACTTTGTAGATGTCTAAAAACTTGCCTTATCGGAATCTCGTATTTGCATTTTGAAGATACCTAGCCTTACAAAAATATTATATGTCTTGAGATAGAAAATAAATATTTTGTTACTTTATTGATGTCTAAGGACTAATCGGTCTATCATATATGTATTTTGAAGATAAAATACAAAATAAATAAAACATCAAAATAAAATTAACATAATCATTCTATTAATTTGTAGATTTTTATAATGGGTAAACATTGTCACATACATGAATATTCATAAGTTTTTCTTTATTTTCTCACTCAGAGCCAAGAACTGTATTTTCTGACAAGAGTAATTTAACGGTGAATCAAATTTTCAAGAAATGTAAGTAAATACAAAGACATAAATGCGTGTTTTTAACGTTTGTTTTCAAGTATGATGCAATTTACACGACTGAATTATTTAAACCGGTTTTCCGATTCAAATAAACGTGTACCTGATATTTTTCTACACACATCTGTCGTCTTTTATCGTTGAGTTTATTCTTATATTTTGAAATATTGACATATAAATGAATATTTCAGTAATCTATTTTATTCATTCTGTACATGTGTGATGTTGAATTGTTATCAATATGCGTTATATTATGCCCTTTAGGAAATCCAATCTACTGGTATGCAAGTACGAAAAACGAGAATACCTACAGAAGATCGGGGCTTACATGATACTGCTCATGTCTTGAGACATTGAAAAATGTCTCAAGACGTTTAATTCAGTTTCTTATATAAAAGCATTTTTCTGCATGGTTGATTATAAATACACCTTTGACATTGCCCATGTCTTGAGACATACAGTAAATATCTTAAGATATGAAGTTGAACTGTAAAAATATTGTTAATGGGGTCTTCTGTTGAAATTTTGTCGGTCAATAGGTATTTCTTTCAAAAACCTGATGCAAATAGTTGCTGAATAAATTCAAAAGTTTACGGTATAAAGTGTCGTCGACAAAGAGGTTGACGTCTCATGCAATGACTGGATAAACCAATACTAATACGGCTACCACAACACATATTCTTATGGCTAATTTTGAGATTGTCGTTGTGCAAAAAGCAAAGTGTTAATGGTTTATTAATTATTAACCCACTCCGAACCATTAACAGAGACTATTTACACATCTGGTCGTGTGCGTTGAATCGCTCTTTTGTTAACTATTAGACGATACACTACCAATTTACACATGTGTAGTGTTTACTTTTTCTATCATACTGTATAAAACTTCTACCTCACTACAAATGTTCTGTTGTCAGTATCTTCAAAAAATGAATACATGTTCAACCAAATGTTTCAAAACGCATCAAACGTGTCTTTGTAATGTCTACAGATTTGAATTTGAAATTAACATATGTGTGCATAGGAATGTTCACTCTTATTTTTATATACAATAAAGACATCAAACAAAAGTATTGACAAACTATTGATTGTTTCAGTCTTCCATTAAATTTTTGTTCTGACAATCGAAAATAATTCCAAAATACTTAGCCTAACAAAAATATTTTATGTCTTTAGATAGAAAATGAAAATGTTCATACTTTGTAGATGTCTAAAAACTTGCCTTATCGGAATCTCGTATTTGCATTTTGAAGATACCTAGCCTTACAAAAATATTATATGTCTTGAGATAGAAAATAAATATCTTGATACTTTATTGATGTCTAAGGACTAATCGGTCTATCATATATGTATTTTGAAGATAAAATACAAAATAAATAAAACATCAAAATAAAATTAACATAATCATTCTATTAATTTGTAGATTTTTATAATGGGTAAACATTGTCACATACATGAATATTCATAAGTTTTTCTTTATTTTCTCACTCAGAGCCAAGAACTGTATTTTCTGACAAGAGTAATTTAACGGTGAATCAAATTTTCAAGAAATGTAAGTAAATACAAAGACATAAATGCGTGTTTTTAACGTTTGTTTTCAAGTATGATGCAATTTACACGACTGAATTATTTTAACCGGTTTTCCGATTCAAATAAACGTGTACCTGATATTTTTCTACACACATCTGTCGTCTTTTATCGTTGAGTTTATTCTTATATTTTGAAATATTGACATATAAATGAATATTTCAGTAATCTATTTTATTCATTCTGTACATGTGTGATGTTGAATTGTTATCAATATGCGTTATATTATGCCCTTTAGTAAATCCAATCTACTGGTATGCAAGTACGAAAAACGAGAATACCTGCAGAAGATCGGGGCTTACATGATACTGCTCATGTCTTGAGACATTGAAAAATGTCTCAAGACGTTTAATTCAGTTTATTATATAAAAGCATTTTTCTGCATGGTTGATTATTAATACACCTTTGACATTGCCCATGTCTTGAGACATACAGTAAATATCTTAAGATATGAAGTTGAACTGTAAAAATATTGTTAATGGGGTCTTCTGTTGAAATTTTGTCGGTCGATAGTTATTTCTTTCAAAAAACTGATACAAATAGTTGCTGAATAAATTCAAAAGTTTACGGTATAAAGTGTCGTCGACAAAGAGGTTGACGTCTCATGCAATGACTGGATAAACCAATACTAATACGGCTACCACAACACATATTCTTATGGCTAATTTTGAGATTGTCGTTGTGCAAAAAGCAAAGTGTTAATGGTTTATTAATTATTAACCCACTCCGAACCATTAACAGAGACTATTTACACATCTGATCGTGTGCGTTGAATCGCTCTTTTGTTAACTATTAGACGATACACTACCAATTTACATATGTGTAGTGTTTACTTTTTCTATCATACTGTATAAAACTTCTACCTCACTACATATGTTCTGTTGTCAATATCTTCAAAAAATGAGTACATGTTCAACCAAATGTTTCAAAACGCGTCAAACATGTCTTTGTAATGTCTACAGATTTGAATTTGAAATTAATATATGTGTGCATACGAATGTTCACTCTTACTTTTGTATACAATAAAGACATCAAATAAAAGTTATGACAAACTATTGATTGTTTCAGTCTTCCATTAAATTTTTGTTCTGAAAATCGAAAATAATTCCAAAATACTTAGCCTAACAGAAATATGTTATGTCTTTAGATAGAAAATGAAAATGTTCATACATTGTAGATGTCTAAGGACTTGCCTTATCGGAATCTCGTATTTGCATTTTGAAGATACCTAGCCTTACAAAAATATTATATGTCTTGAGATAGAAAATAAATATCTTGATACTTTATTGATGTCTAAGGACTTATCGGTCTATCATATATGTATTTTGAAGATAAAATACAAAATAAATAAAACATCAAAATAAAATTAACATAATCATTCTATTAATTTGTAGATTTTTATAATGGGTAAACATTGTCACATACATGAATATTCATAAGTTTTTCTTTATTTTCTCACTCAGAGCCAAGAACTGTATTTTCTGACAAGAGTAATTTAACGGTGAATCAAATTTTCAAGAAATGTAAGTAAATACAAAGACATAAATGCGTGTTTTTAACGTTTGTTTTCAAGTATGATGCAATTTACACGACTGAATTATTTTAACCGGTTTTCCGATTCAAATAAACGTGTACCTGATATTTTTCTACACACATCTGTCGTCTTTTATCGTTGAGTTTATTCTTATATTTTGAAATATTGACATATAAATGAATATTTCAGTAATCTATTTTATTCATTCTGTACATGTGTGATGTTGAATTGTTATCAATATGCGTTATATTATGCCCTTTAGTAAATCCAATCTACCGGTATGCAAGTACAAAAAACGAGAATACCTACAGAAGATCGGGGCTTACATGATACTGCTCATGTCTTGAGACATGGAAAAATGTCTCAAGACGTTTAATTCCAGTTTATTATATAAAAGCATTTTTCTGCATGGTTGATTATAAATACACTTTTGACATTGTCCATGTCTTGAGACATACAGTAAATATCTTAAAATATGAAGTTGAACTGTAAAAATATTTGTATCGGGGTCTTTTGTTGAAATTTTGTCGGTCGATAGTTATTTCTTTCAAAAACTGATACAAATAGTTGCTGAATAAATTCAAAAGTTTACGGTATAAAGTGTCGTCGACAAAGAGGTTGACGTCTCATGCAATGAATGGATACGACAATACTAATACGGTTACCACAACACATACTCTTATGGCTAATTTTGAGATTGTCGTTGTGCAAAAAGCAAAGTGTTAATGGTTTTTTTAATTATTAACCCACTCCGAACCATTAACAGAGCCTATTCACACATCTGATCATGTGCGTTAAATCGCTCTTTTGTTAACTATTAGATGATACACTACCAATTAACACATGTGTAGTGTTTACTTTTTCTATCATACTGTATAAAACTTCTACCTCACTACAAATGTTCTGTTGTCAGTATCTTCAAAAAATGAATACATGTTCAACCAAATGTTTCAAAACGCGTCAAACATGTCTTTGTAATGTCTACAGATTTGAATTTGAAATTAACATATGTGTGCATACGAATGTTCACTCTTATTTTTATATACAATAAAGACATCAAACAAAAGTATTGACAAACTATTGATTGTTTCAGTCTTCCATTAAATTTTTGTTCTGACAATCGAAAATAATTCCAAAATACTTAGCCTAACAAAAATATTTTATGTCTTTAGATAGAAAATGTAAATGTTCATACTTTGTAGATGTCTAAAGACTTGCCTTATCGGAATCTCGTATTTGCATTTTGAAGATACCTAGCCTTACAAAAATATTATATGTCTTGAGATAGAAAATAAATATCTTGATACTTTATTGATGTCTAAGGACTAATCGGTCTATCATATATGTATTTTGAAGATAAAATACAAAATAAATAAAACATCAAAATAAAATTAACATAATCATTCTATTAATTTGTAGATTTTTATAATGGGTAAACATTGTCACATACATGAATATTCATAAGTTTTTCTTTATTTTCTCACTCAGAGCCAAGAACTGTATTTTCTGACAAGAGTAATTTAACGGTGAATCAAATTTTCAAGAAATGTAAGTAAATACAAAGACATAAATGCGTGTTTTTAACGTTTGTTTTCAAGTATGATGCAATTTACACGACTGAATTATTTAAACCGGTTTTCCGATTCAAATAAACGTGTACCTGATATTTTTCTACACACATCTGTCGTCTCATATCGTTGAGTTTATTCTTATATTTTGAAATATTGACATATAAATGAATATTTCAGTAATCTATTTTATTCATTCTGTACATGTGTGATGTTGAATTGTTATCAATATGCGTTATATTATGCCCTTTAGTAAATCCAACCTACTGGTATGCAAGTACGAAAAACGAGAATACCCACAGAAGATCGGGGCTTACATGATACTGCTCATGTCTTGAGACATTGAAAAATGTCTGAAGACTTTTAATTCAGTTTATTATATAAAAGCATTTTTCTGCATGGTTGATTATAAATACACTTTTGACATTGTCCATGTCTTGAGACATACAGTAAATATCTTAAAATATGAAGCTGAACTGTAAAAATATTTGTAATGGGGTCTTTTGTTGAAATTTTGTCGGTCGATAGTTATTTCTTTCAAAAACTGATACAAATAGTTGCTGAATAAATTCAAAAGTTTACGGTATAAAGTGTCGTCGACAAAGAGGCTGACGTCTCATGCAATGAATGGATACGACAATACTAATACGGTTACCACAGCACATACTCTTATGGCTAAATTTGAGATGGTCGTTGTGCAAATAGCAAAGTGTTAATGGTTTATTAATTATTAACCCACTCCGAACCATTAACAGAGCCTATTCACACATCTGATTGTGTGCGTTAAATCGCTCTTTTGTTAACTATTAGATGATACACTACCAATTTTAACCTGTGTAGTGTTTACTTTTTCTATCATACTGTATAAAACTTCTACCTCACTACATATGTTCTGTTGTCAATATCTTCAAAAATGAATACATGTATAACCAAATGTTTCAAAACGCGTCAAACATGTCTTTGTAATGTCTACAGATTTGAAATTAATATATGTGTGCATACGAATGTCCACTCTTAATTTTGTATAAAATAAGGACATCAAATAAAAGTATTGACACACTATCGATTGTTACAGTCTTCCATGAAATTTATGTGCTGAAAATCGAAAATAATTCCAAAATACTTAGCCTAACAAAAATATTTTATGTCTTTAGATAGAAAATGAAAATGTTCAGACTTTGCAGATGTCTAAGGACTTGCCTTATCGGAATCTCATATATACATTATGAAGATACCTAGCCTTACAAAAATATTATATGTCTTGAAATAGAAAATAAATATCTTGATACTTTATTGATGTCTAAGGACTAATCGGTCTATCATATTTGTATGTTGAAGATAAAATACTAAATAGATAAAACATCAAAATGAAATTAACATAATCATTCTATTAATTTGTAGATTTTTATAATGGGTAAACATTGTCACGTACATGTATATTCATAAGTTTTTGTTTAATTTCTCACTCAGAGCCAAGAACTGTATTTTCTGACAAGTGTAATTTCACGGTGAATCAAATTATCAAGAAATGTAAGTGTATACAAAGACATAAATGCGTGTTTTTAACGTTTGTTTTCGTGTATGATGCAATTTACACGACTGAAATATATTTACCGGTTTTCCGATTCAAAAAGACGTGTACCTGATATTTTTCTACACAGAACTGTCGTCTTTTATCGTTGAGTTTATTCTTTTATTTTGAAATATTGACATATAAATGAATATTTCAGTATTCTCTTTTACTCATTTTGCACATGTGTGATGTTGAATTGTTATCAATATGCGTTATATTATGCCCTTTAGTAAATCCAATTTACCGGTATGCTAGAACGAAAAACGCGAATCCCTACGGAAGAGCGGGTCTTACATGATACTGCTCATGTCTTAAGACATGGAAAAATGTCTTAAGACGTTTAATTCCAGTTTATTATATAAATGCATTTTTCTGCATTGCTGAATACAAATACACCTTTGACATTGTCCATGTCTTGAGACGTACAGTAGATATCTTAAGACATGAAGTTGAACTGTAAAAATATTTGTGATGGGGTCTTTTGTTGAAATTTTGTCGATCGATAGTTATTTCTTTCAAAAAACTGATACAAATGGTTGTTGAATGAATTAAAAAATTTAAGTTATAAAGTGTCGTCGACAAAGTGGTTGACGTCTCATGCAATGAATGGATACGACAATACTAATACGGTTACCACAACACATACTTTTATGGCTAATTTTGAGATTGTCGTTGTGCAAAAAGCAAAGTGTTAATGGTTTTTTTAATTATTAACCCACTCCGAACCATTAACAGAGCCTATTCACACATCTGATTGTGTGCGTTAAATCGCTCTTTTGTTAACTATTTGATGATACACTACCAATTTTAACCTGTGTAGCGTTTACTTTTTCTATCATACTGTATACAACTTGTACCTCACAACATATGTTCTGTTGTCAGTATCTTCAAAAAATGAATACATGTTCAACCGAATGTTTCACACGCGTCAAACATGTCTTTGTAATGTCTACAGATTTGAAATTAATATATGTGTGCATACGAATGTTCACTCTTATCCTTGTATAAAATAAGGACATCAAACACAAGTATTGACAAACTATTGATTGTTTAAGTCTTTCATGAAATTTTTGTTCTGAAAATCGAAAATAATTCCAAAATACTTAGCCTAACAAAAATATTTTATATCTTTAGATAGCCTAACAAAAATATTTTTTGTCTTTAGATAGAAAATGAAAATGTTCATACTTTTTAGATGTCTAAGGAGTTGCCTTATTGGAATTTCATATTTGCATTAAGAAGATACCTAGCCTTACAAAAATATTATATGTCTTGAAATAGAAAATAAATATCTTGATACTTTATTGATGTCTAAGGACTAATCGGTCTATCATATTTGTATTCTTAACTATTTTATTGATACTAAACCCTAACGGGAGGGATTGTACTTGATATTCATATGATGAAGACATTATCTCTCAATCAGTTAAATTGAGGTCTGGAGCTGGCATGTCAGTAACTGCTAGTAGTTCTTTATTCATTTATGTAACATTGTCATTTTGCTTAGTTTCTTTTGTTACCTATTCTGACATAGGACTCGGACTTCTTTTAAACTGAGTTTTACTGTGCGTATTGCTATGTGTTTCTTTATTCTACATTGGCTAGAGGTATAAGGGGAGGGTTGAGATCTATTAAAAAACATGTTTAACCCCGCCACATTTTTTCGCCTGTCCCAAGTCAGGAGCCTCTGGCCTTTGTTAGTCTAGTATGTTTTTTAATTTTAGTTCATTTATAACTAGCACACAATTTTAGTTAGGGGCAAGCGGAGGACCACCTCCGGGTGGGGGATTTTCTCGCTGCATTGAAGACCCATTGGTGGCCTTCGGCAGTTGTCTGCTCTTTGGTCGGGTTGTTGTCTCTTTGACATATTCCACAATTCAATTCTCAATTTTATTTTGAAGATAAAATACAAAATAAATAAAACATCAAAATGCAATTAACATAATCATTCTATTTATTTGTAGATTTTCATAATGGGTAAACATTGTCACATACATGTATATTCATAAGTTTTTGTTTAATTTCTCACTCGAAGCCAAGAACTGTATTTTCTGACAAGTGTAATTTCACGGTGAATAAAATTTTCAAGAAATGTAAGTATATACAAAGACATAAATGCGTGTTTTGAACGTTTGTTTTCAAGTTTGATGCAATTTACACGACTGAATTATTTTAACCGGTTTTCCGATTCAAATAGACGTGTACCTGATATTTTTCTACACACATCTGTCGTCTTTTATCGTTGAGTTTATTCTTATATTTTGAAATATTGACATATAAATAAATATTTCAGTAATGTATTTTATTCATTCTGTACATGTGTGATGTTGAATTGTTATCAATATGCGTTAAATTATGCCCTTTAGTAAATCCAATCTACCGGTATGCAAGTACGAAAAACGAGAATCCCTACGGAGGAGCAGGGCTTACATAATACTGCATATGTTTTGAGACATGGAAAAATGTGTTAAGACGTTTAATTCCAGTTTATTATATAAATGCATGTTTGTGCATGGTTGATTATAAAGACACCTTTGACATTGTCCATGTCTTGAGACATACAGTAAATATCTTAAGATATGAAGTTGAACTGTAAAAATATTTGTAATGGGGTCTTCTGTTGAAATTTTGTCGGTCGATAGTTATTTCTTTAAAAAAACTGATACAAATGGTTGTTGAATGAATTCATAAGTTTACGGTATAAAGTGTCGTCGACAAACAGGTTGACGTCTCATGCAATGAATGGATACGACAATACTAATACGGTTACCACAACACATACTCTTATGGCTAATTTTGAGATTGTCGTTGTGCAAAAAGCAAAGTGTTAATGGTTTATTAATTATTAACCCACTCCGAACCATTAACAGAGCCTATTCACACATCTGATCGTGTGCGTTAAATCGCTCTTTTGTTACATATTAGATGATACACTACCAATTTTAACCTGTGTAGTGTTTACTTTTTCTATCATACTGTATAAAACGTCTACTTCACTACATATGTTCTGTTGTCAGTATCTTCAAAAAATGAATACATGTTCAACCAAATGTTTCAAAACGCGTCAAACATATCTTTGTAATGTCTACAGATTTGAAATTAATATATATGTGCATACGAATGTTCACTCTTATTCTTGTATAAAATAAGGACATCAAACAAAAGTATTGACAAACTATTGATTGTTTAAGTCTTCCATGAAATTTTTGTTCTGAAAATCGAAAATAATTCCAAAATACTTAGCCTAACAAAAATATTTTATGTCTTTAGATAGAAAATGAAAATGTTCATACTTAGTAGATGTCTAAGGACTCTCTTTATCGGAATCTCATATTTGCATTTTGAAGATACCTAGCCTTACAAAAATATTAAATGTCTTGAGATAGTAAAATAAATATCTTGATACTTTATTGATACTAAGGGCTAATCGGTGTATCATATCTGTATTTTGAAGATAAAATACAAAATAAATAAAACATGAAATGAAATTAACATAATCATTCTAATAATTTGTAGATTTATATAATGAATACACATGTGTCACGTACATGTATATTAGATATGTCCTATTTTCGGTGCAAAATATAGCTAGCATGGATTTTGTGTCCGGGGATACAGGGACACGTATGTGTGGCTAATTCAAATCAGTACTAGTCTGACTACAACGTCATAACTTCATAAAAAAATTAAATAAAAAGTGAACACAAGAGGATTCAGTGCTATTTCCTATATAAAACTTAAAGAAACAGGGGATACAGGCGGACACAACTGGACCCAGTGCTATTTCTATATAAAACACATAGAATCTGCTGACTACAGACAGACACAGCTGGACACAGTGCTATTCATATATAAAACTTTAAGAAACAGGGGCTACAGGCGGACACAGCTGGATACAGTGCTATTTCTATATAAAACTTTAAGAAACAGGGAGCAACAAGCGGACACAATTGGACACAACGTTATTTCTAAAAAAAACGTATAGAAACTGGTGGCTACAGGCGGACACAGCTGGACAAAGTGCAATTTCTACATAAAAATTACAGAAACAGGGTGCTTCAGGCGGGCACAACGTTATTTCTATATAAAACTTATAGAATCTGCTGGCTACAGGCGGACAATAGCCTGACACAATGCTATTCATATACAAACATTTAAGAAACAGGGGGCTACAGGCTGACACAAGTGGACACAACGTAATTTCTATATAAAACTCATAGAAACTGGTGGCTTCAGGTTGACACAGCTGGACACAGTCCAATTTCTATTTAAAAATTACAGAAACAGAATTACAAAAATAAAAGAGTGACATACATAATATTTCACGAGGACTTATTCCACAATATTGTATATGAAAATAGAATGTTGATTTTGAAACTGCCTAACAGACGCTGGAAGAGTTTAATATAAGAACTTAATTAACCAAACTGCCGCACATAAAATACTCACAGAGGATAGACAATGTAGCTTATGTACAAGGAAATGGTAAAGGAGATGAATCCCATATTTTAGTTGTTGGTAAAAAGTAAATGAAAGCGTAATATCCGTAAGAAATAAATACCCAGCTAGTTAGTTACTACGGACAGAGATAAATATACACATGTGTGTATATGTCTCTGCTACGGGATATTCACCAAGGTAATCAGTATGAGATCTACTTGTAACATTATACAAAATGCTCTCCTTGTTCGGTATTTGATGTTACACAATACTAAAGATATATTTTTTCATGATAATTTCACTTTTTACATTTTAAAATATTTATTTGCATACTTGACCTATAAAAGAAATGATATATGTCCAATTTGATTTATTGTCTAAATGTTTATTTATAACAATGTGTTGATCTTGTTTTCCTTTGTTTATTTTTAATTGCAAATTAATATATCCTGGGTATTGACTTGTTGATTGTCAAAACAAATACCGTACTATAATGCCTTAGTAACCTTAGGGTTTA